GTAAAGCGATTCCACGAAAAATTAAACCTCTCGAACGAAAGTGCACCCGAAAGGGCGGATCTTCTAAACTGAGAGATAAAAAACTCAGTGGGCTGGATTTTAAGGAAGTAAGAATGATTGAATGCACTCCATCCGATTCAATATTTTGGTGTTATTTGTGAGTCATACCGACTTAATGCCGTCAGACGACCAAATTTCTCGTGTGTTGGCGTTTCACTACCAACTGCTTTCATTCTTTTATGCACTTTTAAGTCATCATGATGGAGATATTCTCCTTCCTCTCTCCTCTCTCTCAGCAACTCAGTGAATCCATTTTCTTCCCCTCCTCTTCGCTTTCGCACTTTCGCCTTCGCTTCCTTTATCGTTACGCTTTACGAGGTACTTGAGAGCGAGCTTTGATCATTTGGCAACCGCCTGGGTGCCTCTATTCCTTCTTTTGCAGCATTTGCCTCTCTGAACGGTCGCATGAGGCGTTGCGCAATCTGGTCACAGTTTGCCCACTTGATGAGGCCGTGGGCGCTTTTTAAGAGGTAGCTGAACCTCTGTTGCCTTCATTTCCATTTTCTCTCCCACTGTCACCTCTCATCCGAATTTAAACTTGTGCTTAAATGCGTGAGAATTGGACATGCTTCAAAGAAACAGAGGCATTCGAGTAAATTGCTTGTCAAAAAGTGGGAGCACGACCACCTTGAGTGGATTTCTGTCTCCAGCTAAAATGGTGGTGAAGGCGTCTTCCAATGCAGAGGGTTGTGTGCTGCTTCAGGGCAAGTGCCTCTTAGCACAGCTCGCAGAAGTGATAACACAGACTGGAAAACTGTTTCTCGATAGACACATATGGTCATAAGGAATTAAAGTAAGTCGCTTTTGTTGACGAAAGTTAAATTGAATAGAGTGAGGAGGAAAGGGGCTAAAGTTCTCATCGCATAATTAATCATTTCGTTTAAAACTCCACACTATTATTGCGTCTTTAAAGTGTTCTACTCGCATGAAGTGCCGTCTATTGTCGCCTGTCAATATTGACAACACAGTGCATCCCATCCATTCATTTCTGTCTCGTTCTGTTGGTCTAACAGTCACTTCTGGAAAAGGTGCACAAGTAAAGAACGCCCAAAGTGGGTGGGGAGAAGGAGGACAGGCTCTCGGAGCCCATCTATGCGATGATCTCAAGTGATATTTGACGGGTCTGTTCCATCGCTCTCTTCTGAAGTTTGCCTAGCAACGACACAACTAGTCTTTGGACCTCTGATGAAGGGCCCTGCTTGATGGGTCTTTTTGTCAAACGCCTCACCTGCTACTTTTGATTTTATGCTGTTTGTGAGCGAGGGAGTGGCGACATTTCAGTCACTTATGCGTGACACCGACAGAGAGTCCCACCTGATTTGTTGACCCGATTCAAACGACCAAACAGTCAGCTCATTTTTTGCTACATATCAACGCAAGTGACCGTTGCCATCTGAAAGGCCCGGCGGAAGATCATCGTTGCAATACTTAGTTTATATGCCACTTGGTGTCCGGCTGTCACTTTGGGGTTATCCTATCCCTATAAGCATGGTTTGGCTGTCGGGCCAAACCCGAGTAGAATGTTTGTTAAAATTCACCAAAAAGCGCCATTGCAAGTCTGCTGCTCAACAGAGTGTTCACTACTGCAGTGTCTGCACCTCTGCTTTCAATAACAAAGCCTTGTTCACACAATGTGATGTTGATTTAAGCACACTGTTGAGTGTGACGACAACTGAAAGCGATGCCATCAGCAGTCTGAGGCATGCACCTCTTCCAAGCCGATCAGTATTTGGAGACGCGATGAGAGCTATTGTATTGCCCGTCACACCTCGCCTCGTCTAGAATGGCTCTAGGCACATGTTTTGCATGCGTGAGGAGTGGTTTCATTAATTCACTGCATTCACTGAGACGCGAGGTTGATGTGTCGACTTTCAAGGAATGTCAGTATCAGAAGAGTAACAAAATAGCTCAATTACCCCGCCCAAAAGCAAGATCGCTGAAGTATCAGAAAAAAGGGGTTACAGCTGAACTTTAGGACCGCCATGATCGCCTTTACGCTTTCATTGCCTCGTGCCGGACGACCCTTTAATATCTGTATTTAACTTAAGCTTGAGCGACGACCGCCATGTTAGTTCGCTGGAAATGGCAAAACTTATTTAGCTAGACACTGCGTAATCAAGTTAACCAAATGAAAGGAGCAAAAACCATCCTTCATCTTCTCTGCGGAACTTCTATGGTAGCAACTCTTATAAAATTGCACAACTCCCAATCCTGCCTCTTTTCCCACCTCATTAGCCATCAAATTGACCGTTCTTTTCCCCCCAACTGGATGCTTTAAGGTGTTCACAGGATAGCCGACGCTACAGCTATTAATACATACGTGAAGTCCGTGGCGGTGGGTGGAATCACGCTGGATGCCTCGTCTCTCAACTAACTCTGATTAGATCCACTATTTTCGGATCAAAAGAAGAAGTATCTAAAGCACACCCGCACACACACTTTACCTCTTGTTTTCGTGCAGACTGCTTTTACGATGACTCCGAGTAACCTTTCAGGAGAGGACTATGAGTACTTCCCCTCTATTCCGATGCTGAGCATCCCTCCAACCAAGGAGGCAGAAGCGAGATAGGAAAGTATCATAAGCCAGGAGCCCTCCAACGTCTGAAGGCAAAAGCGCAGTTCTCACCAAGTCTCCTTAAGTGTGACATCGTCACCTTTTTACTCCCTTATTAAAGATGGCTGAAGTGACTTTGGTACTACGAAGCCGTTGCCGACATTCCCATACAATAGAAGCCGAATTTGGCGCAAAAGCCCCAAGACCGCAAATGGTTTAATTAGGTGTAAACCCTTTAACGCGCTCTACTCCAGCACCTTTCCGCATGTACGGTCTTCCTCTTCTTAATTTGAGTCTATTTCTGACCGGGTCGCAACCTTCCTTCACCACCTCCAACCACTCTTAGTGCTTTCTACGATGCAAAAATTAGGAGGTACAGGATACCACCCAAGCATTTCATAAACCCTCACTTAACCCTCCGAATTCCTTCTCCAATGCAAGCCAAGGCATATATGACCCGACCATGGATTTCAACTCTTGTCCGCAACGACCTCACGAGATTGGACGCTTCTAACCTATTTCATGCAACCCATGAGATGCTGTGGTAGGCCTTGTTTTAAACCAACCTTCTTTCCTACTAATTATTTTGTCCAAATTAACTTGGCATGAAGCGCAGGCTAACCGACCAACACTTGCATTCATCATCTCAGAGGCGTCAATGACCAGCTGTCTCACCGGACTCATCAACTGCATCCGCACATCATCGCCGCTACCAACTAAAAATGTGCGTCAATGCGCCTAAGCTTTCGGTGCTCACCTCACACTCGCTGTAGCAAGTCACGTAGAAGCTCTCAGGCATCCTCGCATCAAACGCAGAAGTTCAAGGCAAAGTGTATCGAAACCAATATGACAAGCGGAGGTGGTTGAGAACTAACTCCACCGACGACTTATTAATATTTTTTAATCTTCGCTATTTATATGCACGTGTGAAAGTAATTAAACTTTGTTACAACAACAGAAAGAATGGGAAGGGCTGTTCGTGAATACTAAAGCGTATTAAGCACTCCCCTACAGAACCACACTTTATATTGGAAAAAATGTCTTTGAAACCTAAACAGATGACTTCTCAGAGGATCCTAAATCGCCCGACACAATAATTCATCTCCACACCCCCTTGCCTCCCCCACTGACAAAACTGCAGAGGGCATAGGTTTAAACACTGCAACTGGTTAGTGATGGAAGAGATCCCGAACAGGGGAGCAAATTCGTAGAAAAGGGACTTAGAAACAACATCGACATCAGACTTTTGTGATCTTTCAAACGATGAGCCATCCAATTAATAAAGAATGCCTAGGTTACCACGATATTTCCGCATCACTATTGTGAACACGAAGGCATGATTTGTATTCAAAATGGTGAGAACTAGAGCGACTCCAAATTGATGCGCAAGCAAATTTTCAGCTGGCACCAGAGGAGACGACTAGGACCAGAGCAAGTGCACCTCAAGCGTCAAATTATGTGCATAGAATGTTGACTTTCAAGCAAGTTTTTTCGGCGCCTTTGCTGAGGTGTTTTGACAACACAATGCAAAATACCAGTTATACTAGACCTTAAAAATCTGGTGTAAGTCAACTCACCAACCATGGACATCTGCGTTCACATGGTCCTACGAAAAGGAACTTAGAAGTCAAATTGGGCGAACAAAATACTTGCTACCGACATCGTTCAAGTAACATGCATACACCCTAGATTCGACCGCCAGAAGTTAGCCACAAGCCGAATTGCATCTTTCGCGAAACAAAAAAGCCTAAGTAGTTACTGTCCTTAAGCTAAAAGCCCCCTTTTAGCAAACAATTAAGGTCACCAAATCCGTACTGAAGAAAATATAAAAACACTAGGTTATATAAGTCAAAAGTTCGTCAGCAAGAAATTGGAACTGGTTCAAAGGTTAGGTTCTCTGGTGAACCCGAACTGATGTAGTGTCGCTTCTGTTTGATTCAAGGCACTGAAATTAGAAAACGATTAACTTAAGATCAAAACAAATTTTTGGATGCCATAAACGATATTTTACCCTTTGATGTAGATAAGTTTAAAGGCACTAAACAACTCAATCGATGAGCTGATGGAGATCGTCATTCCTTGAATAGGCCACAGTTCGCGCGTTTGCTTCCAGAGCCACACGTGCTATGTCCAAGATTCCCATTTAACTTACACTTTTTCCTTAGTTTATAACTAAATCGATTCTATTTCCGTGATAGGCAGTATGTATACCTGTCTTCCCTGCCAGCTTATGATAAGAACCAATTGAATGAGCTATGTAAACCTAACAAACGATGAAAAATCACCAAAAGAGCCTCCAACCACCTCAATATTGAGCTGTGAAATAGATTTCCGGCCAAGCCTAGATGCAAGTATTGCTATCGTAGAAATAGAGAATATATGAGTATCAAAAGGAGACAACATCAGAGAATCCGCTATGGGCAAAATAAGATTCAAGAATGACACATCAAAAGCAAAACACCTGCCATCTCGAAGAATGCGGTAGTGCAAACTCTGACCATGTGACCTAACCGCAGGAGAAAGATCGACTACTGTGGAACCAGCGCGCGAACTTTGCAGCTCATTGTCACTACCATCACCGCCAATTCGGCCACCATCCACAACGAGATCCAGCTGAGGCCATAGTTCAGAAAACTCCTGCAAACCGAAGACAAGCCGACATGTTTTCCAAATAAATGCAGATGTATCAAAAGGAGTGCAGTTTAAAAAATCTTGTAATCCACTGTCCCTAAATTGAAAAAAACCGATTCCTCTAATCGAAAAAGAAGGCAAGAAAAAAGTACTACAAGAGAATGCCTACGTCAGGGGAGAGGGTGGACTTCTGACCACTGTAATTGGCCGAAGTGAGAACAAGGGGAATAGCAGACGCAGAAAAGCAAGATTCCGTAATATGAAGATCCCCGTTAGCCACTCCCATGGTACGGAGGACCGTTGCCAAGGTTTCTGAGAGACGACAGACAAAGGAACTATCTGGCACCCTAATACCAATGTCCATGACACAAGGGTTAAGGAGAGGGTTCAAAGGGTCGTCTGCCATTCTCGGAAGTAGGACAGTAACTGGACCAGGTAGAAGAGAAGAAAGAAGCTTGTGTTCGATGCCTTCAGTGTTGCTCCACAGCGACAGACTGATTGCCTTGGTGATCAGAAATGATGAGATTTGAGTAAGCTAAGTGGTACCTTGTCAAGGCAAATCGCCATAGGTTTGGTGCTCTCGCGACCTTTGATATGGTATATGCGGTCTATGCCACGAGTAGATAGGCTGCAACATGCAAGGCCGTAAATAGTGTCTGTTGGCACAGCGACTACGCCACCGGAGAGAAGAATGCTGGCGATTTCAGGAAGGAGGTGTTTAGCTTCAAAGAATTTACAAATTCTATTAGACTCTCAAGTACTTAGCAAAAAATGACCCGCAACAGACCTTTCGCCAATGCAATAACGTTGGATGACCTAGGAGAACGAAGCATGACGAGGCATCGAAGGCACCGACTCAGTCCGAATCGAGCGAGTATGACCAAGCTTATACAAATAAAGACACAAATAGATAGTAGAAAAAAGGCAACTGAAATAGCATTCATGTAGTGAAAATATTCTCGCACATTAAAAGCTCCTTGGTAGAGTAAAGACATGCTTGGATAAATTTCTGCACATCTGAACTAATTAAATATTAATGTAAAGGCTATGAACTGCTAAAAAATGTAAAATAGCTTAGTGCATACAGTGCCTCGTGTGATCAAATTGTAGACGCCGAAGCATTACTGTTACAAATTTTCTCCAGTAATAAAGGTTCTGAAATCAACAATACTGACGTGTAAAAGGAAGTATCGGCAAGTTTTTGAAGAATATATTTAAAAGCTATTTCTGTCTGCAACATTTATAAATAGTGTATCTGCAGTAGCCTTGCACAATGTCTAGCTGCTTGTTTGAATTAACAAAATATCCAACTGATTGCGTTAAAACCTGTACGCCACTTTATTTTCTGTTGCGCTTTGCTTAAAGTCTTTCACCCTTTGACACTGTCTGTCGGTATGACCATTCTGCTCGTATTTTCCGAATTGTTTTATCCGCTGACCATTTTCTGTTTATTTGTTTTGGTTCTCTTTTTTATCTAAACTAACTGTACATCCATCTGGTATGCTCTCGTATCTCCTTAATTAGTGCTTTGCATTCCGTCTCAACCCATTATTTATGCTACAATCGATATTGTTTGGTCTTCCCAGTTGCTTGCATCGGGTCTAATCTTATATTGTCAAGAGACTTTTTGTCTTAGTTTTTAATCCCACTTCTTGCTTTAGCATTTTATGATGAATTTTGGGGCTGATCGCACCTCCGACTTTCTCCAGCTCGTTAACACCCTACGTGCTGCCACTTCTAATGGTCACGTGCGGACTGGGGACCCCATTTCATCGATGGCTTCCCACCACCGTACCTCCAATGGCATTTCCACGAGTAGCATTGCGTCTAAATCTTCTCAATTTGCTCGCATGGCCTCACTCATTAGCTCTGACCTCGCTGTGACTTGTAGTCGCCTCGAAAGTCTCTCCACTCTTGCTCGTCAACGCACTCTTTTTGATGACCATTCCACTGAGGTTCAACATCTCACATTACTGATTCGGGAGGATATCGCGAATCTGAACCACCGTATTGCTGATTTAAGCAATCTCTCGAAGTCTGCTATTACCTCTCCCCAACAGCAATCAGCCAGACATGCTACCTCGGTGCTCATGAATCTCCAGTCGCGACTAGCTGGGATGTCAGAGCGATTCAAACGAGTACTAGAACAGCGATCAAAGACACTGAGAGACCAGACGTTACGAAAAAGCGCCTTTTCGGCACAGCAGCAAGAGTCACTAACAACAAGCGGACTGTCTAATCAAGGATTCGATTCGCAGGCATTGGATTCGCCAGAATCCTCAGCCGTTCCTTCCATCTCTCCTGCTATTATGACTCCGTCGATTCTCTTGCAGGTAATTAATAGTATGTGGTTAGTCTAGCCAATACTATTGTTAAGCGTCGTTTTGCTCGGTGGGAAGATCTGTTCTCAAGGGTGTTGCTGATACATTTCTTATAGTTTAGGTTTTTCATTATCAAATGGTTTTGGGTTATGATTCGATTTGCTTTTTGCTGGTCTGCAACGTCCTTAGTAGTTCGTCCTCGCGTCAAAGTAGTCCACACTTTTGTAGATGTTCTCGTTGGTAATTATTCAAAAAACACGTTAGCTTAAGTGCTAAATTCTATAGCCTTGGTAAACTTTCGTCCACTTTCTTGGAAATATAGGTTAATAAGGTCACTACTTCCTGATTGGTCCTCGCAATTTGGATACTTGTGGTACTCTGGCCTAATTTTATTGTTTCAGGAGGTTAAAATGTTGTTACTTTGTCGATTCCTATAATCGTGTATCGGCATATTACTCATGTAGATCGCAAGCACTAGTATTTTTGGTAGCAGGTAAATTGAGAAGGAAGTTTGACAGCGTTATTAATCGCTCGATGAGGGTTCAAAAGGTCCTCGTTCAGTTTGACTGGTAGATCGACGATAAAGTAGTCACGCAGACCACTGAACTTCCAATTCTATAATTTGTAGGGTCTAACGGAAGTCTTTATTATCAACATCTACAAGTCTTCTTAGTCATTATTTTCAAAATTTCTGGTGCTGACACAAATATGCTCAGAACTTCTTAGTTTAAAATGTGATCCAGGCTGAGGTTTTGCGTTGGTGTGGGCTTCCGTAGATTTGACCCTCCTTCCTCTTAGCACCATTTGAAAAACGCTCGAGCATCTCATTTTCATACTTTTACTGTCTCTAACAGACAGCACTCAATCTTTGGCATCGTAAAAACGCGTGTTTGCGGCCCTCACTGGAATGTTTTTACTGTATTAGTCCGGGGTCCCTTACCATTGGTTGTGGTCCTGACCTGTCGGGCAAACGTATGAAATCGTCTCCACTGTTAATTGAAACTACTTTTAATATAAATTCAGCTAGTTTATATATTTTGTTCCTGAAATAACAATGATAAAGTAAAGTTTAGTTTAAACCTACGTTGGTGCATTGATCTTCTCCAAGTTAAATCGCTTTTTCCTTAACAATTTCTAGGTTTCGTCCCATAATCATGCGAACATAGTGAGTCCTCATCTCTAGGTGTCTGTAGTTGATATTGAGAAGTGGTTCCATCTTTCGGGGTGGATGCTTGCGTTTCTATTTAGTGTCATTTGAACCCTAATCTCACCTCACCTCACCGCTAATTTACCGAAGTTCCCTGTCTTCATTTCAGCTCCACTAGGATGTGTTTCCTTTCTCCCTTCCTTCTGAAATGCTTATTGTGCATAGACCAGCGTCCTTTCCACATTTAGCTTTGCGGCTGTACCTCGCATGGTGTGTGTTATCTATCGTAAATGTTATTTGATGTCTTGCACTTCTTTTGTTTACTAGTCCACTTGGTTTCTTGACATTTTAGTTGATTGTTTTTTGCCTATAGAAGTGGGTGGGATTAATCTCTATCTTAGTACTTTGCTCGATGGATTAGGCAGTTCACATGATGTATATGAACGGCGGTTGTCATGAGAATCCGATATGTGACGGTAGTGCGCTTGCTTTAGGTATTGTAAGCACGTTTGCCCTTGTATTTCGATTCACTTTTCCCTGTTGAGCGCTTCCCTAAGGCCGTTTCAGGATCAGAGCTTTCAACACATTCCGTGTTAATGCCTGCTTTTGGATCTCAATCTCTCTTAAATGTGTGGGATGTGTGGTCTGGATATGGGCTTTTAAAAGAATTTTTAACGAATCCTTCATGGAATGGATTTCGGTTGTTTTCTGCTTCGTAATATTGATTGCGTAATAGGTGAACCCTCACAAGTACATTTATCATCAGAAACTGGCCACTACAGTTTTTTTTAATTAGTTTGAACATGTCGGGAGCAAATTGAAGTGACTTGGTCACTTTTTTACAGGATGAGCAACGCGCCCGTCAAGCCAGTGGAATTGGTGACAACAGCAGTTCTCTTTTAGTAGATTCCAGCCAACAGCAACAGATGGCCCTCTTTCGCGATCAGACCGACGCTTACTTAGCAGCACGCCACGACACTGTTCGTACCATTGAGCACACTATCGTAGAATTGGGTGAGATCTTCCAGCAACTTGCAACAATGGTAAATATCGAGTTCCTTTTATTCCTCCCTTGGACGCTGGAGAAGCATACGGGAAGCAACTCTTTCTGCCTTGTAGGTGCACGAACATGAAGAGAGGGTTGAGCGCATCGATGCTAATGTGGAGGAATCGGTAGCTGCCGTGGAGTCAGGACATGCAGAGTTACTCCGTTACCTACGCTCCGTTTCGTCTAATCGTTGGCTGATGTTCAAAGTTTTTGGTGTCCTCCTTCTCTTCTTCCTTTTCTTTGTGGTTTTCTTTGTCTAATATTTGACTACTCCTTGGCTTTTTTCGACGGTTAAATTATCTGTCAGCCTGTCTTTCAGCACATCAGATTCGCTTTATGAGATTATTTGGAGATTGTCGTATTGTTGATATCCTTCTGCTTTTTGTTGGGGAGTAGGGCTTTGGTGCCTTTTCAAGGGCGTGGGGGAGTCCACTTATCGAGTACCATGGTTTCGTCCTCCATGGATTTGGAGGCGTTGGGAGGCAGCAACCACCTCGAAGTGCACAGCTGCGCTGGGAGGTACGATGTGGCTACATATTGCAGTTTCCTGACTGCGAGGTCAGGTTGCTGGGCTGCAGGGGTGCTATAAATGGGTTTGATTCGGAAGGCAGAAGGGTGTTCGAAGAGACCAGAATGGAGGATTAGAGATGGCGGCAAATCCTAACATCTTGTTTTTCTAAGGTAGGGATGTGGGTCGTATATGATTGTGTAGGTTGTAGGATTCTGTACAAGTGAGCGCAATTCAGACTCATTTTTATAGAGGCCTTAGGTAAAAGTGACTACAGAAGCTCTGATTTTTTTAAAATCTCCAAATCAGAAAGTCAGAAAAAGGTTTGTTAGGTATCTAATGTTTTCATTGCAGTTTTGAAAACCTGCTATGTGAGGTGGATAATGAGAAAGAATTAGCACCTTAGACTAATAAGGCGAGTGCAGAGCTTGCCTATCCACAGGAACCTGAACCTCGGACTTCAGCAGGGAGTTAGTTGAGAAAGCCTTATTAGGCATGGTGTACAAAAAAAAAGTGGGATAGCATTGATGAGACGTCAGGCCGATGTCACCCTGTCACGCATTGGACCCGTGTTCAAATTACTTTCATTTCTCTTCTTATGAAGGCAAACTTCAACACGCCAATATATATAATAGTAAGGATTCAAAAAGCTCCATATCGTTAGAAGCATCCACACAAGTGTTTGATTTGAAAAGTTGACGTTTCATTTCATAGAAGTGCTACTTTCTAAGACAACCCCAGCGCCCACATAAAATTTTGAAGTCTAAATGCTGATACTCGTAATTTACACCTTTTAAAGCGCTTGAGGTAAATCTGACTTCAGATAAGGTTTAAAACAGATAAGACAAATTCTGTGACGGAAATAAAATTAAGCGATTTCGTATATTATTGATCTTTCATTCGCAATAGGCATCTAAAAATGTGTGTCGATGATGCTTTAATGAGCCGGGGTTCCTTTTGATTAAGTGCACTGAGAAGAAAGGCAATAAAGAACTCTTTTGTTTTGATAACCCCAATATCTGGCCTAGAGGTGCATGCAGTCCATTGGTTGGTGTTCAACATGCCGAAGCGTGCAGGTATAGTTGATGGTGCGACTAGATAGTCCTATTTAGCCACTGAAAGCGTTTCCAATACTCAGAAGTTACAGCAGGCCAAAAGACGTACGCTGTAAAATTTAAAAGCTCACACCAACTTGTGTAGCCAAACTATTGCCTCCCAAGCGGAAGTCTGACGCTAAACCGGCTAAAAGGGTGGAATGGAAAAATCGCGAACGAACTTTATTCCTATGCTCGCGAGGAGTCTCTGCTCTGGGTCGCCATCTCATGAAGGATTTAATCAACATGATGCCCCACTCTAAATCGGACACAAAACTTGATACCAAGAAAGACCTCCCATTAGTTAACGAAATTGCAGAAATTCGAAATGCGACGAAGGTATGCGGTGCCCTCATTCATAATTGAACTTACTGCGCACGTTCTTGCACGGTTCTTGCAGGTAGTCTTTTTTGAGGGTCGCAAAAAGTGTGATCTCTATATGTGGTTAAGCTGCGTCTCAGGTGGGCCATCAGCAAAATTCTTGGTAGAGAACATGAGTACTACTGCGGAGCTCAAAATGACTGGCAATGCGCTTCGATACAGCCGTCCCATTCTCTCTTTCGATTCCAATTTCGAGGACCCTGAGATGCCACATTTGCAACTTCTGAAGGAGGTCTTTGTTCAGTCCTTCGGAACACCCTATTTTCATCCTAAAATGCAGCCCTTTACAGACAAGGTTATCTCAATCATCTTCTTCGCTGGACGAATCTGGTTCCGTGTGTATCAGATTGTCGAGGAGAGCGCAGCTCTCTCGGAGATAGGTGCAATACTATTTGTGGTATTCTCTTTTGTGATCGATTGTTTTGTTTATCGCCGAAATTCTTTATGCTTTAGGACCGCGGTTCTCGCTTTTTCCAATGAAGATTTTCTTGGGAAGCTTCAGAGGTGCAATCATCTGGGAAAATCCGAAGTATATCTCCCCAAATAAGGTGCGCCAAATGTATGCCTTATATTTAACTAACTCTTTTCTAATATTCACAACAACTTTCCCCTTTAAAGATCCGTCAGACGTTGAGGATGAGCAAAGGGACGAAGTACATGGAGAGGATAGAGGCAAAAAAGAGTAGTAAAATGAGGAAGAAGTCGCAGACATTCCTTCACGAAGTTGACGAGACCGATGATATTTTTGAATAGCGTGGCGTCGTGATTTTTTTCCCGTGTCCTGTTGTAAATATACGGTCTCATGAGCTTTATGCAGTTATGTGGGGGTGGGGTCTCGGTCCGTTGACCTCCCGCGGCGTGGGTGCGCGTGGTTGCAGTGGGTCGTGGCTGTCGCAGCCTTCGTCGCGGCTTGATTGCTGATCTTGTGCAGGATGTGGACATGCAAGGGAGGCCCCCAGCCAATTGAGTTTTGTTTTGTATGTTGTGATAGTGTGAGCATCCAATAAATTCTCAGCACTTTAATCGCAAGTGAAAAGTATCAGAGCACTAGGTTTAGAGCCGTCATTTTGAGTACGTTTGGATTTGTTACCATTAAGGGAATGATTAAGATGTGAAATCCAAGAGAATTTATATAAATCTATTCCCAAACGAACTCCAGTAATTCACTAAAAATAAATTTCAAGCTGAATTCTGCCGTAACACATTAGATCTGGTCAGTTTAAAGCTTAAGAAATTTGTTTTACCGACTCGATGATGACCCAAGTGTTTCGCATTTGTGTTTTATTTTGTCATCTAGTGTTTTTTTAAGTCTACGATTGATGTCCGGTGTTTAGCTATCCATCATGGAAGAGACGATTGACTCTCTGAAATCGGCCAAATATGCTTCGTGTCGGCTCATTGTGACCAAAGTTCCTATTGACGTATTTACTGACATCGAAGCTAAAGTGTGTTTATTTGCGTTTCGCTCCATTGGTTTTAGAATATATTTGAGCAGGTTTTCCGTACCTATGACAATTCTTGCGAATTTATCTATCTTCCTAGTTTCCATCGCGTTATTGTGAGTGTTGCTGGTCTTTCTTTTTCGCAATGTGTCTGAGTTATTTGCTCTCCGCAATTTTTTTTCATTTTTCTTGTGCCAAGGTAACAATGTCTACTCCAGAAGCTGCTGTGATGGCCCGATTGGAAACTCAGGGCTGGCGTCTTCAATCGGCCTCTGTTGGCACGTCAAATGCAAACGATCATGAGCCATCCACAGAGTCTGAAAACGTGGGAATTCGTTGCTACTTTGCAGACGAGAAGGAGGAGCGCGGCAAGTGTCAGCGCCGACAGGTTCGTCCTGCCGTGAAAAGCGCTTCTTTCGACGAGGATCGCCTCACTGATGAGGATGGGGATGATGGTGGCACCGATGATATACTAGACGATATGGATACCTTCGAACATTTGACATTGCCCAAACCTGAGCGTTTATTTCTTCTCTCGCCTCCGGCATCCCCGCCTGTGGGTTGGGAACCCAAGGTTGAAGCAGAACCTCTCATCAATTACGACCTTCTCCATGCTCTCGCTGCACTTGAGCCCGGTAAGTTAGTGAACTTTTTGAGCACTATCATCTCTGTGTACATTTAAGCCCTCTGCTATGAATGTTTTTCTTTTCACTTTTTTTCTAGGAGTAAGATTTTTACTTTGACGTTACTGACGAATCTACTGTTATAGATAGGCCTAATCTAGGGGTCATTTATTCCTGATTCAGGCAATCACTTTGGTTTCAGTATTGCTGTAAGTTTCATTATCTTTTAGTTCACAGTTGAGTAGTTACCTTTTTTCACTTGCGCCTCTTAGGGCACTTATTCTTAAAACAGAGGTCCATATTTCATGCCTCTTACGCATTTACAGTCCTGTGCTACATTTTAACGATTTTCTTACTTGAAATGTTTTTGGGGACAGATTTCCGAAGCGCTTTTAGCGTTGTGTGCAAATCTTTTTTTCACTTATTTCCCTCTTCTTGGCCAAATATTTGTTGTCCACGGTTCACTCTCTCATGTTGTGGTGTGTTTTTAGAGTCTTCCATTCCTTCTGCCTGGATTTGGAAAATCGTTTTGAGGCCCTTTAAGGTGCTTTGATTTGACTTTCACATGCTGTTATTGGTAAATCGTCAACTGTTCGTTTATATCTCAATGGCAGTGGTTTTTATTTCCCACTTGGACTCGCGCCTATGAATTTTTCTTTCGCTCGGCTGCGTGGTGCGTTCGTTAAGTTCCTTTACCTTTTCTTTTTTGTTCACTCTGTGAGTTACACATCGACGTCTAGTCTATGAGTCCCACGAAATCTCCATCCGCACTGCTAAATGTACACACACGTGTGTGCCGTTGGTTTGGTGGTTTATTTCGCCAACCAACATCAAATCCCCATCTATTCTCACAGCCTCAAAATGCACTGTCCATGGATCAACACCTCTTGCGTACTGGTTTCATGTTTCCTTTTGGGAATCGTGTCTATCAAAGCAATATTCTGATTCTGATGAGGTGAAGAAACTGTGGATTGCTTAATTTTTCTTAATTGAAGGTGAAAGGAATATATTGGCCAACAATTTAGTCTTTTCTTGACAGCCACCTCTTTGCTTTTTTTCCTTCATCCCTCTCTCTGGGCGAAGAATTCCGGTTAAAGTCATCTTCACGGAAGGCGGATTCCTCTCCCTATTTTTGGATTTTACTACCTGATTAGCGCACTTTGCTTTTTGACTCTTCTCTGCAACTCTGCCTATTTATTTTGAAGAATACATAAATTGATACAAACTATATGGATGGTACGAATTGGCAGAGTTACATTTCTAAAGAAAATTATCTCAAATAGAGGGATTTTGTTTGGAACATCAGGTGTTGCTTCGCACTCGCAGGGCAGAAAGAGAAATGGCTTGTTATTAATTCTTCGTATCTCCCTTTTATTGCTGGCCCGACTGACCAATCACCTCAATTTTGGCTTTCCCTACTCGGTTTTTTTTCCACTTCTCGAGGCATTAAAGTCTTTTGACTCCCCTCATTCCTTTGCCTTGCAAATTTTTCAGCTCAGCAAAATTTTTGCCCTCTGCCCTACTTTCTAGTCAGTCAAGTAAACGAAGGAGACTTCTTAGTTGCGGAGGTGTCTTGCTCCTGTCCTCTTCTCTAACCATGCAGTTTTCATTAGCGGCATATGAATGGCAGTTTTTTTTATGAAGTACAGACTTCATTGGTCCATTTTTACACCTTTCGGCTAGGTGGAAAGGCTAGCAATTCAGCTGTGCACATAAAGTGCCTTTTTAACGTGTGACGAACAGCAGCATGTCAATTTTTTGTTGTTTCTTGTTGAGATCGTGTTATTAAATTCATGTTGATGCATTGTCTTTTAATAAGGGGAATGGGGCAAGCCGTAATCATCGGTCCTGTATTTATGGACTTACTTGATCGAGTAAGTACTCCTCCTTCAGCATAGGTACGTTGTCCCGAGCTTAAGGATAGGCTTTTCCTTTCCATTCGCCGCCTATCTATGCCAAATAGCCGCGGCGGAATTGCCTTCACCGAAGCTATGTTTCACTTTATGATCCTCTCTTCGATTGCATAGAGTGAGGTTATCGATGGTCTGACTCCAAAGGTTGGCAAAACTTTGACTTACTTTTCTATTCCTTTCGCCACCTTTTTGGCCTGTGTTATGATTTGAAAGTTGTCAAAATATCATCAAGATACTGGTCTTTGCGCGTACAAGCTAACATTCCTTGTGATAGGGGTAATAAGGTAGGACTTCCTCGACTGTAACACTTCCCTTTTGCCACTCTTGTTTGACCTTTTAGGCAAGGCGCATGAATTGCATCCACCCGAGCGAGACAAACCGGGCATTGTGGTGACACCGTGTGAGGGCGCATTGGATGTGAGGAAGAAGAAGAAGAAGCGAGATCTGCCCGAATCAAAGATACCTCACACCGCTTGTCCCAATCGAAATTAGTGTGTGTCGCCTCATTCGTCTTCCCCTCCCAGCCTCTTTTATTTGTTGCTTTGACCTTTTACTTTTCCTTTCCTTTTTTGTATAAAACGATGTTATACTCTGTTGTGTGCAATATCTAGATTGAGTGAAGACAATAAATTGACTGCTGAATGGTGCTTTTTGAAGCGTTTGTGGAGGCGACGAGGCAACCACTTTGAGGTCGTAGCATCTGCGTTGTAGCATTCGATGTTTGAAAGCATGTGGGAGAACTGAAGGACCGGAAATGACGTCAGAGCCCCTTGTTACTACCATAGACAATACTTCCTAAAAGGTTAAATGGCCTGTAAGGCAATGCTTTTGCATGGAGCCGTAGGCCCCTCTTTGGGGTGTTTTGGTGCTCCGCCGCTGTGCATTGTCTGTGGTAGCCAGAAAATCTTAGTGCTATTTTGAGTAGCGTCTCACAAACACTCATTTTGGTGCGTGGGAGCTTGTCAAATTCTCGTGTTTATTGTTATGCCTACATTAGGAAGGAGAAAAGTCAGGATCCTCTCCCATGGGTTCACAATAAACTAGTCCCTTTTGGAGTGGTTAGAGCTTCTGCTCTCACTCAGGTTTCCTGATTGGTCATTCAAAAGTCCCCACGCAGTTGTGAGGTGTCAAGGTTAATCAAGTCATCATAAATCAACGAAAATGAACGCGACAGCGGTAACGTATGCATGCGTCCAACCTCAAGTCCACTCATGAGCACACCAAGATCTTTGTTCAGGGTTCCCGTCTCCTGATTCATCGAGATGGACAATCGACACGCCCCACTAGCAGAGGCAGCGTTTTGCTAACATTTGTTAAATGCCGTTCAGAGGGGTGAAGAAGTAACAGTACGTCACCCTCAGAAGTGAATTTGGGATGAGTCACCCCCAAATTGTTGCATCATGCACAGAAGGAAGACCTATCATCTTCAAGAAAGGCAAAAAAAATGCCAGGAATGAACTGTCAGGAATCTCTTTTCTGTAGCATTGGACGCTAGTGATAAAACAACTGGCTTAGGGGAAGTGGTTAAGGAGGATGCAAAGGCTGCCAAGCGAATAGATTGCATACACGTGCAATGGTGATAGATGACAACAGTTTTCGATGCTTGGCACATTGCTGTTCAAAGAGGAGAGCATTTTTAGCAAAAAACTCATCACCCATACCTAAGTCGAAGAGCAATCTCATCTTGGTGTTTTGTGAAATGTGAAGGACACTGTCAAACCATGGTCTCCTGTCTGAAGAGTAACAACCTACAACTGGATGCACCCCGCAATGAGTGAAGAGCGTCTGGAAGTAGCCAATCAGACCGATGGCAGTCTCGCATTTCTATTGGCTTTTACTCGGGAGATCCACTTCATGGTATCGCAAAAGTGACTCGTGAAAAGGATGGATAATACAACGTTGCCTTGTCCACTGCGCTTTTCTTCCATTTCTCCCTGTGATAGGCTTTTCTTCAGTCCTCAACAAACATATGGTCATGTGTAAGGCGGAGGGAGTGAGAGTGAGCCATTTGCTACAGTACAAGGGCACGTGACTGGTAGATGGCTGATGAAGGCAAGCGAGCAGTTCCATTCCTGCTTTTCTAAGGTTGCTTCATTGGCCTTGACCTTATTCATTTAAAACGGTTCTTAAGTTGTGTTGACCAAGCAAGAAGAGAGCGCAGAAAGTTTTGGAAGCAAAGTTCCTGTGGAAATTATGCGGCTATTTAAACTCGGTCAGAAGTTTGGAAGGCTGTAGATCTCCGGTACGTGATTACGATTGCTGATGGGAATTAAGAGCGCGATAATTCAAATGCAGTCAAAAATTAAAAAGCATAAGAAACAAAGACAAGTAACTCAGATTATCAGGAGGTTTAATCGTCCCAATGTTACAAAATGCTCATAGATTTGAGGATTAAATTGTGAGGATGTCCCAAAGATGTGAGTCGCTTGTGGTCCACACTTTGTTGGGATGCCATTAGCTACTACCGCAACACTAATGCTACAACTGTTCTGTTCTGAATGGTTCCAAATCCGTTCTGCTTGTCTGTTCTCTCCTCCATTTTTCATTTCTCTTAAACAGTTGATTTTGGGACACAAATATCTTCCAATAGTCGACGTCATGATAACTGTGAACGTGGACCCCTCGACTACAAAACCTTCCTATCCTGGTTGAAGAAAGCTGAAACTACCAAACCTCTTTGGTTGCTTGCTTTGCAAGCACCGCAATCTTACACTCTGCAAGCCAATGCCAAAGGGGCGGAGCGGCCAACACCAACCGGCCCTACCTAGAGGAAATTAGCAGCACTCACTGCCCCCAAGGGATTGAAGGCTCATGTCCACTCCCATAGCTGCCATTCCTGTCTTGCGGTTTGTTACAATTTTTTTCCCAAGTGAATGCCAAGTGACAGCCATGGGAATAAAGATGTCAAGACATCACCTAACTTTCCTCCTTCCTATTCCCAAATAAGACCGCAATTTTTGCTTCACATCCTGCTCAATGCATTTCGCCAACAAGCAACGGATTTCAATCAAACCAACAAAAGGATACATTAAAAAGAAGGGAAAGGACAGGATTATGGCGTAGTGACACGAGTCGATGAGGCAGGCGACACCCTTTCCTCGTGGTGGCGTCGCCTGTTCGCAACTTCATTGGCCAGGAGGGCGAGGGCATCGTCATTTAACCGAGGCAGAAGATGTAGAATTTCCGCCAACGCCTGAATACCAAAAACATCATCCCGCAGTTTAGACTACCTAATCTCGTACTTCTTTTTAATCTGCTTTTTGTGCATTTAATTGCCGCCCCAAAGCAGGGATGTTTATGCTCTACCCTCGTGATGGGCTGGTTCTCAGTAATTGTAATTTATGTTCCTTCTCCTCTTTAAATTTTAACCCCTGATTAATCCAGAATTTTCGATTAAACAAAACTCAAACTTCTACTCAAAGTATTCGAAAAAGTTTACGAGGGAAATCCGTTGATCAAGCATCGCATTAAGTAGGTAAGGTCATCTCGGACCAACATATTCCCCCACCTGGGAAAATGGATTTTACCCACCACCCACCCACCCGCCCAAATGGAAGGAGATAGTTGGTACACAATCCGTTTGGTGTCGTAAACCTCCACGTGACATCTCAATTCGTACGAGCGCTCAAGAAAGACACACATTTTTATGTTTGCCGAGGAGGAGAAGCGGATGGCAGAGCAATACCGAGGCAGGCAGTGGAACACGTGGATGATTAGAAAGTAAGTCTGTCTATCTAACATTAGTCGGGCGGAAAGGTGGATGAAACAGGCTAAGATGAGCGCCTTTCCAGATATGGAACTTTAAATTTGAGGAAAGAAAAGTTTGTGATTCATTTCTATAGTTTTTGGACATGAAATCCCGCCAAACGTTATCTCCGCTTCCCATCGACTTCAAACCAACTACGGGAGACCGATGTGGTAGTAACGATGCGCTTATTTGCCTTTTTTCTCTTTGCCAAAGAGGAAGTGAGCAAACACATCAACATTTATCTTTTTCTAGGGGGTCGCTGAAATAAACACTTGACATAACCAATAAGGCGGTCTATTTTACATCAAAAAAAAGAGATCCGAGGAAATCAACTCGATTTCAAGTACCAATTCATCAATGCAATAAAAAATTCTACTTTACCTTAAGCCTAGTGGATGGCGAAAGCGATCGTTTTAAAGAGAAGGAAAATGCAAATTTTGACGCAATGTAAATAACTTGATCGGATTCAAATTGCTTGAAGAGATAGGACGACTTTGATTCATTCATATCAAAAAACAAACTATGAATCACCTGTTTATTTACCAACGAAAGATGAGAAACTGTCTCACGGATGGACAGCACATCTTCGCCTGAGCCTCGAAGGTTTGACGACTCGTCCCTAAGAGAACAGAATTTACTTAGCCTACTTATTGAATTCAGTAGCACTGTGTAACTGGCGCGACTTATGAATCGGACCAAATGTTGGAGCAGAGCATACCAACGAGGTTTAAAAATACGTGTCCTACTCAAAGCTAAGAAAAGGTGAGCCTTGGAGCACAATAGAAATTAAGAATTACGAGCTTTTGACCTTCACTGGCAAAGTCACCATCAACACCCACGACTGGAGAAAATTTACCTCAGAAGATTGAGAGTGGTTGTCAAATCCAGGGAAACATGATTTATTTACTTTTTTCAACTTAAAATACTGAGATACTAAGCCAAATGCATCCTTGATGAGACGAGTACTATTATGGAAAACGTGGAGGTTTAAGTCACTGGTCCAAACCATACATCCTTTTGTTTAGAACAGTAACAAGGCGCGTGTGACTTATTTCTTTGACGTAAAATATGACAGCAATCTAGAAGTTCTATCAATTACTTTTTTGATGTTACGAAATGAGCCAAATCAAAACCGTTTCAATGCAAAGTAGGGATGTGTTTTTAGTTTTTATAGGTACATGACAATTGGAAATGTCGGAAGCTTACGATTTGTGAACAGCCAAATCTGAAAAGTCAACCTCTTTAGAAGCGACAACAGCACTGTCAGCAATAACAAGTTCCTCCTAAACGGGAAAAAAGTTCTAATGAGCTCTTTAAACCCGAAGCAGCTCGAAATCCATTCGCAAGCTAGCGTTTGATTTTGTAACAAATACTAGGCGACACAAACAAACATCACAAAAAGACGTACTTTTTGCGCCTTTGTTTCCGATGACAAATCATTTCGAGTTTCACTGTTCTCTAATTCATTCATCTTCTTTGTTTCTTCTTCAACACCGCCATCGACAACGGTAAAAGATGTCAAATTTGAGTGTCTTACTGCCATCATCTTCTCGTCTTCCGAAATCACTACAATTCAAGACAAAATAAAGTGCTTCCCGACTACTTCTCTACACTTCCCTAACAGCTATTCTTCATCATATCCATTCTATAATAGTGGCTAATCTAAAATGTACAAATGATGGACGTCTTTAGTTCATAGGATAGAACAAAGAAACCCCTTTACTTGAAAGCAGTCTCTACATCTCTGCTCTTTCTAGAATGCTGCACAACGTCATCAGGGCCAATTTATTTCCAAAAAGAGATGAAACGGTTGGCTTATCTTGCATAAAAGATAGACGAGTAGGTTCATACCAAGAGTTCTTTAAGAAATAGTAGTCAAATGAGCTTGAATTATCATGCAGAGCGTATATATATATATGCATACGTATGTATATATCGCCTAAAACAAAGTGGTTCTAAGCTTCTATCTCGAAGAGAAAAGAACCGTACTGCATGTGTCTTTAGGAAGATATAGTATGGTAGCCCTTCGCCGCCTCACAGTGTCATTAACTCAAAGCTGTAAACTATAGTCTGTGTGTTGTAGTCAGCGAGGTTGAGTGATTTATTCACCATGAAAATCACAGTTCTATCAAACATGCCTATGTTTAACCTTATGAACTATTAGGCGTCACTGGCATAACTACCAGGGAGTAGATATACCATGCCGAATGCCAAGTAGCTGATGCCCACTTTATCTACGATAAGTGTGCATTTATAAATCCCTTACAGGTCCATCAAAGGGAAACGCAACGCACGAGAATAGTTGAATAGCATAACAAAAAATTTTTAAATGAAATACCTAATTAATCTTTCAAGCTTACGAGAAACAGTTGTAACACTGCAAAAGGATTTCTCATTGGATTGACAATGATAAAGTACCTCATCACACGCTTACGCTTCAAATCAAGACGTTCCAAAGATGGGACATGTTTTATAACTGTTGGTCGATAATGATCTGAAGTCTCTGTCGACATGTCGATTCTCCTAACGTCTAGATATTTGGAACAAAATAAAATTAATTGGTTTATACTTGTGGGATAGCAGCAAGGATTACCAAGGAGGAATAAAGTGTGCAGAAGACTTAAGCTGCTGAGATGGCGAACTTCACTGAGGTCAAAAATCGCATTGTTTCGAAGGTAAAGCTCCTTTAGATTTACGCAAAAAGAAAATGGCTCAAGGCTTGAAATGTTATTAGAGCTAAAAAGGAAGATAAAATATTAAAATAAATAAATTATGATCAATTAAAGCTACCTCAACGAGACAACTTCAAGGGTTGGTACGCTTTGAAGAAACGAGGCATCACAAATCCTCAAGCCCCTAAATATGAATTAAAGACTATTGAAGCGTACCAGAGGTTGACCCGCTTTACATGCTCCAAATTCTCCTTTTGAGCTCTCTTCAAAATCATTGACTCTGTTAAACGGTGGCCTATCATGATAATTCTAAAAAACAATGCACTATGATAGACGTATTTGTTTCAGTAAGCGTGCTCCCGTAGAGAAGCAGCAGCATTAACTTAAGCAGGGTTTTGGTTTGCTCAAGATTTCCTAAAAAATATCTGTAACTTTAAAATAGATAAGCAACTATTTTAATGGAACGGTAACGCTAACACAATAAAATGTTCCTATATTAAGGTTCATCAACAACTCAAAACCATGACAAAGTATTGTAAACACTTTCAGCTCAGTGCATTATAAAAAAATATCATGAGACTGTGGTAATACTTCTGCAATGTAAAACCTTAACTCAGCTAAGCACAAAAGTGCATATGCTCAATACAACCACCCCGGGCAGTATACAGCGTTTGAAATGCCACACAAATATCCAGACAACAAATCCATCAGTACAAACAAATCAGACATAAAACAAGCCTATTGTTGCTTACCAGCAAAATTTGGCCAAATTACACGGAATCTAACCTCTAAATCTATGTAGACTTAATTAAAATTAGGTACAAGAATGCTAAGTATGCTTTATAGACGTGATTAACAAGTTAGGTTACTAATTTTTCCGTTTAGCTTTTAAAGGTTGCTACTGCAATGCTTCGTTTATGTAAGCACATAACATTAGGTGGTCACTTTAGAATTTATCAGGCCCTTGTACTCGTGGGCTGGCCTTCGGACCGTGCGTAGGCCCATTTGTCCTGTCGTTTTCGGAATGCATGTACTCTGCTGCACTTACAGCTACAGTTACTATAGATAAGTAATGGTAATATAATATAGTTCTTAAAATAAAATATAAATATAAATGACATAAGCAATATTGCATTTGGTATTAGGTTCACGCACGTAACGTCCCGAAACTTCCCATTAAGTAGAAGACAGTAGGTTGAACTAATTACATGTGTTCTAGGCAGAGAAAAGGGATCGAAACTGAGCTTAGCATGCAGACTATCCTACGCTCACACGAGCCAGACGAATATTAAATTGACCGCCAGACCTCAGGTATAAGTCTGGATAACTTTTATATGAACAACGTTCTCGATTCTCTCCATGGTTCATCCCCTTGCCGGTCATTGCAACACCGTCGGTATTAGAATAAAGCACACCGATCTAGCCGTGCAAGTCAACCGTTAGAGTGATAGTGAGAAACGGTATTTGGTCTCCTCATCGTCTCCAATTGGGTCTTTTGATCGCCAACTGCTTCTAGGACTAGATGTTAAAACTCTGGTCTAAAACTGATGTGTTACAATGAAAAAGAGATCAAGCAAAGTCCCGTATGTAGGGCGATCCATAGTGCCATTATCATTACGTATACGCGTGTGTAGTAGGGAGAATTTTTACACAAAACTTTTCCAGATAGTTCACTAGGATATCGTCTTAGATCTTAATAGCTTCTCTGTGAAACATGGAGACAAAATGAAAGCAGATGTCATTCTCAGCATTTTGGGCTGCGGAGTCTCGAAGATGCTCTCACTCGATATTTATTGGTTTCCCCACACGGTAAATATTAGATACTAAGAGTAAGTTGTTAAAAATGTCGTATTCACTTTCTACTGCTAACAGTGCAGCGTTCTGAGACCTTTTATGATTCTAAAGAAGGCTTTAAGTTGGGCTCAATACATGAATTCTAGACCGAGAAAAGAGATTAGGCTTGAGCTTGGTCCAAAGGCCAGTGGTCAGATTAATACCAAAGTAACCTTCAGACACCGGGCTTAATCCCTTTTCTCCCCTCTCCACCCTCTCAGAATACGTGCGATCCGCCTAACTTAATGTCTTGTAGTCTCGAGACGATACATGAGTGAGTGCAAGATGTATTGTAATGTTTCCATTATTTTACAACCTACATGAATAGCAGTCACTTTATTGTTTGCCTTGCTTTTGTGTCCGTGGGCTGGCCATAATCCAATCTCTCCACTTTTATTCTTAATTGCGCCAACTCGGCTATACTTAATGCCTTCTTCCACCAAGTGGGAAGTCTCAGGATGCTACATTATATCTACAGTAGTCATGGGGACGGATCTTCACGCTCATCAAGCATGACGTCCAGAATGCCTTCCGTGAAAACCATTCAAAAGACAATTCCAACAACTACTATATACCAAAATAGAGTTTTATTAAATCGTTTTACTATTTGAAGTAGCTGATAAAATGCCATTCACTTGTGCTCGAACAAATGTATCGTCTCAACACCATTTCACGTATATTGCATGAGCTGCATGCGTACGTATTTAGACAAAATAAATGAGAGTGGGACTTTGGCATTAATCCGTTGGATAACTCACCGCTGACAATAAAACAAGCAAACCTTTACAACCTTACACTCTAAAAAGTTGAGTAGTGCAAACCAAATCCATCCGTTGCCAAAACTATTACCATTTACTCAGATATTATGATGTTAGTGACATAAGTACGCGTCCATGAGGAGCCCTTTGAGGGAGCGATCAAACTGAAGGAGTAGCCACGAGCACGAGATACGCCACACGATCACCACCGTGAAGTCCTTTGTTTTGCCCTACGCACCAGAAAATTGAACATGGCACGACCCGCCCCTTGCCTCGAGTGGGATCGACACCACTACCAAAACACGACAAGTGAAATCAAATGACAACTGAAAACTACCACGAATTCAAATCCCGGTACCTGACATCTCCCACTTAGCAGAGACCTGCTCTTAACAAACTTAATGCAAATTTCAATCCCCAGGCTTCCCATACACTCCCGAGCAAAAAGAAAACAATCCTTTCCACCATCAAAAGGGGATGCTGTTTCCCAGTACAGAAACATCTCTATACACAAACACGGATAGAACCGAGAGAGGTGGAGATTGATGCCGATGGAAACAGGCAGATTCTGACAGACGAACTAGCAGCTGAAAGAAAAGACGAAATAGCCGTGGAAAAGAGTATGGCAGAAGAAAGAAGTGATCCAGTGAATGACATTTAAGGCATCTAATTAGAGGGGGTGGAAGACGCGTGTATTTAATTCCGCGTCGTCACCAACGGCTTTGACCATGCATTTTGACGAGGTGGTTGTTGCTGGCGTGGTTTTTCTTCTGCTGGTGCCTCATGCTTCACCTGAGAAGTAAAAAGGTTTCGTAAATCCACCAATGCCCATCAAGAATCTAAACTAAGCGCATTTCAACTGATAAAGCAAAAGCGATAATAAAAAAAAACAGAAAACGAAAGCTAGAACAATATACGCCTACTTCTTTGGGAAAGTGAGTGGAGTGAACACCACTTACGGTGGCAGGAGGAACGGGTTCCTTTACTATCATTTGTGATTTTTCGGGTTGGAGGGAGGCCTTCGCCATTTTCTAAGAAAAGAAATACACAAACGCAATGAAAAAATTCTTCTTTTCAGCTTAATGATTTTGATGTGATGACATTTCCACTTCAAAAACCTTCATAGACGCAAATATATTTGAGCATATCAGCACTCCACTTTAAAGTGAAAGTGGACACAGAAAAAACAATGCCGAGTGTTACTTATGAGCAGTAAGTAAGTATAGAAGGGAGATGGTTACTGGCAAACAACTGATGTCGTCAAAGCCACTTACTAAGTAGTAAGCCCGCTTAAATAAGCAACAGAACAACATCACACCTAAGACCTAAAGACGTGTCATGTCTACAAGTGTAAGCTAAGTGCATAAAAAATTACGCTGATGCCATAAACTGCGTTTAAGCAACAAGTAGCTACTGCCATGGAATAAAAAAACACGATTCATTCAATTATAGAGGCGGATATCTATTCTCCTATTATACCTCTTCAAGTTGTCGCTCTATTGCAGCAGTATCAACCGGTTTGGCAGCACCAAAGATAGCAGCATGACGATCAGACACGACGTCGTCGTCCTCGTTTCCATTCAGAGGTAACGTGCGCGGTTTAAGACGAAGAACAGGGCGTTCCGGAAGCGGACCTGCTCCACCCTGAGGAGGGGGTGGAGGACGCACCGACCGACGAGTCCAACCCGAACAGTCAGCACCGCTCTCACCTGTCGCGTCAAAGCCCCGGCTGCAGGGATTCAGAAGAACAAACGGGTCCCATTAGTATCTGTATTACCACCCTTAAGCACGTGACGCCTAACTTACTGACTGGTAGGTCATACGCGTCAAATGTACTCTATGTATCTGACGGTAAGTGATCGCACTAAACAACAAAACTGACGCTGAACACTCTCAAGTTGACTGTTTTCCTAAGTATTCAGCCAGAATATGACCTAAAAAGCAAAGGAGATCGAAGCTGGGTCTGCGAAGGCTAAAACTTTATCATTAGGAGATGAAAAACAGCTAATGCTTTTATGATATCACACACATCAATGGGAACATGACTTGGGCGATGGCACCACTTAAACGCGACCATTACGAACTCATAGCAATCGCGCCGCCAGCTTTGCGATATCTCATGCCCAATAGTCGAGTTAAACTGAATTCAGCAATAACACCACAAACGAGTAAACACAAACTCTACTGTCCACCGAAAACTATCAAGAGCCTATCTCAAACCATGACCAGCTTAAATATTGAAGATACTGTGGCGTGAATGAACAAAAAATTACTCCACGATTTGCCACTATCACAACTATAATCTATTGCTCTTTTCAGTACTAGCTCATAAGCAATCCGACTTCTCACAGCTATTCTAACGCAGATGACCTCAGTTGATGCGATCCAAAATAAAGTTTGATGTGGCAATTACACTCAAATAGTTCCAACATTAACAACACAAGATACCTCCTGAAGTCGGAACGACGGGAATTGAAGCCATCGCGACTGCCATAGCCGCGTCTGTTACTGGTGTCGTTCTGGAAAAGACAACGAATAAATAGGACAAAATAATATGGGTGAACCCTTAGATTCATTAACCTCACCTGATCAGCTATACGCATGGTGACACGACGGTTAAGAAGGAAGGCATTGTTCTTCGACATTGCATTAACCAAATCTGCCTTGGAAGCAAAATCCACAAAACAGTAACCTCGAAATTGACCATCTTCCTCGACGGTACGAATATGGACCGGGCGAATAGGAAGGAAAAATCTAAACGCGACAGTAAACTACTCTGTTAATAGCGCAGAAGCTCTTCCACTGAAACGACATAACTTCTTCCGAAATCCTTACTCCTCAATTTCCTTGCGAGTAGCAGAGAAGGAAACATTAACTAGTACAAGTCGAAAAGGCCCAGTTTCAGGAATGCGAGCGATATCTTCTTCAAGCCGAACAGCCTGTGGTGCAGATGGGAGCTGAGCTTTGATGCGCTGGAGTTCTGTTACTTTCTCCTTTGAAAGATGGAGGTCAGATGGAATCGATGCGGCACCATCAAGGACCTGAAACAAAACAAGTGCTATAATTCCACCGCAAAAGCGGTGGATCGTCCCGCGGTATAAGACAATGAAAAGCATAACGAAGCATTGTATGATTCGTACACAGAGTTGTCAAAAAAAACAGAGGTCAGATAACCAAAAGATATTTACACTGTTACTGGAGTAGCTGATGTCGATATCAAGAACTTGATTGAAACGATTCTTCTTGCCTTTTTTTCCCATGGTAAAAAACACGCACAGGCAGACCAATACCTTCGACAGTAGCGCCAAGTAAATAGTGCGCAAGTAGTTAAATAACGCATTAAAATATATTTTTGTGCTTTTAAGCAGTTTTGGAACGATGATAAAACGTAGTAAAATAAATCTTAGCAATATAAATATATCTAATGCCTCATGAGCTGCAAACGCATGAAGATTTACCAAGTAGAAAATTGCAAAGCTCCGAATCAAAAGCATATGCAATGCGTTGAGACCTCTAGCTTAACTAAAGGACACATTAGGTTAAAATAAAAACATGAGTGCTAAGAAGATAATAAAATTTCGGTCACTGTTATGATCCGAAGGCCACCCCACGCGTACAAGACAAAGACGAATGTCGTATCAACCACCAGACATACAGGTGGTCGCATCAACAAAGTACCGCATCGCCCCTCTCTCCTTTAACGCGGTGTCATCGGCTCTACTCTCGGTACACCTCACGCGTCAGCCATCACAACACATCCGGCACCACAAAAAACACCCACGAACCAACTGCGTTGCTCACCAGCTACCACGGGACTGAGGGACTGTACTTGGCCGTCTCGACAGCTCCAGTTGAAAGTAAGGTTACATTCGGTCCGAGGACAAGAATTGTGGCGAGGAATTTCTGTTGATCATTAACCGTGCACTAGTCAAACGGATGCTTAGCAGGGAAGGTGGGATCACAAGTGGAGGAGGATTGGGCGTAGTGTTGATTGTAGGACTTTTGCAGATGGTTCATGGCGACGTTGCTTCAATTGTTGATAGATTGTCTGTGGAACAAGGCGACAAGTTGTGATGAGGGAGAACTACGATGCGAAACTTTTGCGGAATGTTCACGGCGGTGTTGTCTGGGCTGTTAGTTGCTTGCATATAGGACATGAGAATGGAACAGAGCAGAGAATCTGCAGCCCAACTTTGAACCATAGAAGTATGGCACAAACAGTGAGCAGTGGGATAGGAGTTACAAAAAGTTAAGAATATAAATTTTGCTTCCTGCTGCCACTAGTGTTGCGCTTAGCGTAATGCCTTGTATGTGTGACTACCCGACGTTTGGCGGTCACTTTAGGATTTGTCTGGCCCTTGTACTCGTGAACTGGCCTTTGGGCCATGCTCAAGCCCATTTGCTCTATTTTCCTCGGAATACATGTATCCACTATCACTTACTGCCTTCTTCCACCCTATAGAAAGTCTCGGGACGCTACACTGGGTGCAGACTTCAAGGTAAAGGAAAACATTAAGTTGGGCTGAACGTATGTGTTCCAGTAGAAAAACGGTGTAATTGGACTTTGACCTGCTCTGAAGGTCGGTTTATGCCCACAGGGTTCACTAATACCAAAGCTACCACCGAACATCAGGTGTAAACTTCCAATGGTCAACAGAATTTCCACTCTACGATTCTCATCCTAGGACCGAACGTAACTCTATTTTCCCTTAAAGCTGCCAAGAGGGTCGAATAAAGTCTGTAGCGTCCCGAGACCTCCTTGCTATTATAAGAAGTCAGCAAGTGTAGCTGATTACACGCATTCCGAAGATGACAGGACAAATGGGCCTGCGCATGATCCGAAGGCCAGCTCACATGTACAAGAGTCAGACAAATCTTACAGTGACCGCCAAACGTCATATTATCACATAAACAAAGCATTACAGTCCCACAGTCTCTTTTATCTGATGAACAGTTAGCTGTTTTGTGGATATTCTTTGTAGCGCCGGATGTGTTGAGATGGCTGTATGTCTGGTTATTGATTTGGCATTCTTCTTGCTGTTGTAGGCGTAAACTGACCTTCAAAACACACCAAAGCTCAGCCTTTCCGCTTTTCTCCTGGAATGCATTATCCTCTCCAACTTAAGGTCTTATAGCTGATGCGAAGTCATGGAACGCTACATTGCTCTGTTTTCCTATCGATTCCTTGTACTCCAAGGCCAGGCATTCTTAAGTAGTTCGCCAAGCACGACGAGTAGACTGTTAACTGGCGGCTACTTTTAATTTCAAATCAGTGGATGTAATATATGCTGGAGTGTTTAAGTCGGCTTTTATAGAGAGAGGCGGGAAACAATTTCGAACGCGGACCGGTGCGAGGCTCGCGAGGAAGCCCTCTCCGAGTGATATCTGCTATTCGGTTCATCTACGTTCTTATCCTCGTTCTTCTTGTATTCAATGCCTAATAAATTTACTGTATCTAAACCTCTTTTAAAGTTCTTGGTTCAAGGACATGAGGGTAGCCAGGCGGTTCCTGCATTGAAAATATAGAGACGCATGAAATAGTGGCCATTTATGTGTCTTGTATCCCAGCTATATAAATACCTCGTTGCGAAGTGTAGTTTCCCCATTCATAGTATTATAGAGCGCTAGGCATGATGAAACACCTGTAAAAAGTCGAAAAATGTAGGATCAAGATCATGACCTGACTGTGGATAATCCACGTGGCACGAGAAGGGTTGGCGGTTGACAATCATATAAGCAAAAAAACAAGGTTTTATAATAATGTGTTTTAATTTGTGCTCATAACGCGGCAATGATAAGCATTACTTTATACATTGTGGGATATGAAGCATGGTGTTTTAGTTGAGACAAAGTCCCAATTATATTTGAAAATGTTCAAAATACTTAGGTTTTTGTGCACAAAAAAGACGGAATGGTGCTCTAAGCTAGATGTAGTTTTGAAAATGCTTAAGTTATAAAAGTTATGATTGCGTTTAATTTTTCCTATGTTTCACGTGATCCTTTGGGCGGGGCAAACTTTTATGTGACATTGGTCGATGGTCGTGGTGGTACGCTTTGAGGGTGCCTTTGTCAATAGGACCTAGGCTATTGTTGATTTCATTCCCTTATGTTACACTTTTATCAATGCTTACATAACTTGCTCTGTGTGTCATTCTGTTCAGTGTGACGCTGAACATTTTTTTAGTTCTCATTTTACACCTTGTTTGCTGTTTTATGTCAGTGTTGCAAGTGTACTGCACTGTGTAAAAATTGTTTTTAGTGTTCTGAATTTTTGTAAATGTGGAAATCATTGTTCATACCAGAAGACATTATCCGGGCAATAGGAGATTTGGGTTTTGAGGAGCCAACTCCTATTCAGCGGCAAGTTATTCCTCTTGCTATTCGTGATCACGCAGATATTTTGGGCTCCGCTCCAACGGTATAAATTTTACTTTATTTTTCTTCGATTTATCAAATGAGGACTACTTCACATCTTTATTGTTCGCTTGTTGATTGATAGAAGACCATTACAGTGCTTCATAATTTTGAATTCTTCATTGTCTTTGAATAGACGGTCTCAAAAGCGTCGAGTTCTACATGGTCCTTTAAGAATGCTAACCGTTTCTCTGTTTCATCGAAATGCAACTTTGCAATTTTGGTTCCATATTTGTTCTCTTGATCTGATGAAAGTTAATTCTCAAACAATAATTTGTGTCATACACATTATGAGGAGCATAACACTATTTGCCTTATCCTCTAATCGGCAATCTTTCAACATTTTTTATCGCCTTAATTTTTAGGGAAGTGGAAAGACCTTAGCCTTTGGCGTCCCTATCCTAGTCCGTGTTCGAGAGGCAAAACTTAAACTTGCTGTAAAGGTGTGTGACTTTACAAAAAAATCAGGCACTTCTTTTTATTTAGCACAATCTTGCACACAATTCGTACGAGACACAAATATCTTCTGGAGCATTGAAGAAGGCGAAAAGTTAGTTAATTGTTACTTATTCTTAAATTTAGCCGTTCTTATCGGTCGTTTCTTCATTCTCTTTACAACTAGAACGCAGGAGGAGCAATGCATTTTCTGAATTGCAAGCGGACTCGTTTCGGGCTAAGAGGAGACATCAAAAAGCGATTGAAGAGTTGGCTTTCATTGAAGAACTTGATCCGGACACCATGGATGTTGTTAAAGTGCATGACCTGTCAAAAAGGCCAATTTCTGGGCCCTCGGAATCTCTTAGTGGCGTAGGACATCTAAGCAGTGCTGTTCTAGGCTTGGTTATTCTTCCAACTCGCGAGTTAGCTCTCCAGGTCAGTCTTTTATAAGTTGCCTACTTGCAAGAGTACGGGCAGGGTCTAGAGCCAGGTTAGCGCTTTTGCGACTACTGGTACTGAACCGTCTTAGCGTAAGCAGCTTTACCTTGTCATTCGTGTTCATCTTGAATCTACATCCATTTCTTTTCTGCTTTCTATCCTTAGACTAATTGATACACCCAATTACCATGTTTCATCTACTTTTATGATGCATTGCGTTTTGGCCAGACACCTTTTGTGCCGAATAAATGCAGCGTAACTTGGCATTGCGACTACCCCAGCCATCGCCTTCATCGTCACCTCAGTGCTTTACTGGGTGGTTGAGTGCCTCAGGCCTTACATTTTTCTTTGAGACTACGCATTGCTGTTTGCACCGTTGTCAGTCATTTTTTTACTAGCGATTTCTGAATTGAACCTCCCAAAGCTTGTGCAACAGGTACTGCCTATAGGATGCATCGCTATCCGCCATTCCCTAGCATTCTTTTGTTAGCGTGCCTTCATTCTTACGAAAATAGGAATCTTGGCCTAACCCTTTTAAGGTGTCAACAAATCTACGAGCGCTGGCTAAATACATAGGGCCACCTGGAATCACAATCGAAGCCATCGTTGGCGGAATTTCCGTTCAAAAACAAGAGCGCATTTTACGGCAGCGTCACCCAGACATTGTTGTTGCGACTCCTGGGCGTCTGTGGGAATTCATTCAACAGGTTGGTCTGCTTAAATTCCTCCAGTAGATACCCTCATGCCTACAGGAAAATGAACTTCTAGCATCCATGCCACAAACTCTGTCTGCAGTGGTTTTTGATGAAGCCGATCGATTGGTTGAATCCCAGCATTTTGTGGAGTTAAGATCAATTTTGCAATTCCTGAAAAACAAGCCAGCAGATTTGAAGCGACAAATTTTTGTCTTCTCAGCCACATTGGCATTTGTTCACACTAATGCTCTCATGCCTGGCACCCACTCGAACAGGTTTATAAAAAAGTTTGCAACTGGGAAAAAGATGGATAGCCATGCCAAACTTGGTACGTTCATTGAGATTTTTCCGGTTTGAATAAAGAGAAGCGATAGTGTTATCATCTCATTCTACTTCTATTGTCATTAATATTGTATTCACTATATTTCAGGCTTCCTTCGGGACATGCTAGGTCTGTCAGCCCGTGCCAAGGTTGTTGATCTTTCCTCTTCTACACCGCCAAAACTGATTGACGATGTAGGTGCATCAGATAACTCTTCAAAAGCATCCAACAGCGCCATTTGCCTTCCCTCCGGACTTGTTGAATATCGCCTTTCCTGTCCAAATCAAGCGGACAAGGATGTCCTTCTAGTTTGGCTTATACTTGACGCTCGATTGTCTAATAGCGGTCGAGCTCTCATTTTCCTGAATAGCAAATCTGGAGCCCGACGATTGGCGGGTGTTTTACGCCAATGTGGTGAGATATCACCTCATCTCTGCGTTCTGCATGCTGACATGCTGCAGAAACAGAGGCTCCGTTCTCTGGAACGTTTTCAGGGTATGGGAACTAGTATAGTGATGTCCCCTTCATTTAGTGCCAACCGTGACTCCCCAACCTGTATTTCAGCCAATGATGCAGCCGTTATAGTGGCTACGGATGTGGCTGCCCGAGGGCTGGATTTTGCCTCATGTGAGGTTGCCTGGGTGGTGCATTTTGATATGCCTCGCACCGCCGAAGTCTACATCCATAGATGCGGTCGAACGGCACGGGCGAATCGGTCGGGACGTAGTGTTGTGATGCTGGCCCCTGGAGATGTTCTACGGTGGCGCAAACTGGCTCGCAATTTGCATGGTCTCACCAAAGGTTCGTTGCTAGTCTTCCGCCTATTGTGTCTATCTCATTTCTGGTCGATTCATAACATCTGGCGCTAACTTTAAATTTGTCTGCTGATTGTTTGGTAGAAATATGTGCTAATGTCACGAGTTTGTGTTGAGTATGTGCAATACGAGGTAATTATTTTTTCCCAGAACTTGTATGTTATGTATGTCTTTTGTCCTTGCAAACTTGAGGTAGAAGGTAACTTCATTCAGTGTAGTTAGGAAGAATCACTATGACCCATTTTCTGTCAATAGTGGTTAATTTTAACCTTGCTTACATAAGAGGGTGATGCTCTTCAATTGCCTGAACTGAAGCCATCTGCCACCTCTGAAGACGTGACAGAATTCCGCTCTATTGTCCGCCTAATGCGCGAGATGGATGAAATTGAGCATGGTGCGTCTAAGAAGGCCGCTGAGCGCGAGTGGTTCCTTCGCACTGCTCGTGAAGCTGACATCGAACTCGATTCGGATTTAGGACTTTCGAGGTAGGTGCCCTAGCGTCGCTTCGCCTTCCCTTAGTGTCCAGCTCTAGCCTTTGGGTTGATTGCTAGCTTTTTCACTTGCTCATCCCCTTTAAAATCGATATGTGATCGTATCATTGCAGCATAGGTCCTCACTGCTATCTAGTTCTTCGTTCCCCGGAATAAGTAGAATGTTTCTTTTTTATTTAAGCGATGATGAAAACGGCGGTGGGAGTTGTAAACGTGTGAGGAAAACGGCAACAAAAACTTTGGGTCCTCTTCGATCTGAACTGAACGCTGTAATTGCCCACCTTTTCATTAGGTGTCAACTAATTTCAAACGTTTCAACCTGATTTTGTCTACTAGATGCTGGCATCGTGGCGGCAGCGGCGGGAACAAAGCACAAAGTATCCCCAGAAGCCTCGTTATGGGAAGGGAATAGTCGTTTTTACTCCAGATGACTCCTTAAAGTCAGGCTGAGCAAGTTTTCTTCTGTACACAAAAGAGTTTTGATATATGTGAAAATGTCTAATTTCTGTCAAGAAGGCGATGATGTCTCGTGTTTCCTTAGCGTGCGTCAATGTATTTGTGGTGCTAACTTGCACACGGACTTGCCCTTCGATCCGTAACCTTTTCATTCGGTCTGGTCGTACCTGACAATGGTAATGGTGAACTTCTCGTTTAGTGCTTCAAAGTAATTTTATTAAAAAGCGCAGCAGCTATGATATGTAGATGGTCTCATTGGCCGGTCTGGATTGTTACTGTATCAGTCCCAGGCAGATCACCTACTTTCAACAAATAAGTAGGGTGTTGATGATTTTGCACTGAAATTCCTCTTCTGTGTACATAGTTATCAAGATTTCCACAATGTATGTGCCATTCTAATGCGTTGCCCTGACTTTCTTTATGCATTGGTGAGGCAAGAAAATTTCCGGTCGTTCAGTTGATTTTGAGGTCAGCGTCGCAATCTGGTCGATCTGCCCGAACTTGGGAACATAAATATGGGTGATTGCGGGAGGTCCTTAAGTGTATTTCAGTGGCCGAAATAGTCGCATATGGAGAGGAATCAAATGTAACGAGGCTTCCGCTGTTTGGAGGTTGGTTCCTCAGCTCAGTCAGCTCTCATTTGCTCCCTCTTTACCTCAATCAACTCAACATTCGAAACTAGTCGCACACTCTTATAGCTCAAGAATAAGGTGCGTTTGATTGGGATTGGCCTTTCATAGTTATTGCATTTCCTCAACATGCACTTTTCTGTCATTTGTCTCTTGCCAAGTGAAAACAAATTCTAAGCGCCTTAAGACGGTGCGTTCTTCAGCTGTTTGAGGGAGGAAACTATTTAAAGTACGCGAAATTCAAGCCATGAAAAGTGGTACGTCTTTAAGGGGTTGGGAAGAGATGAAATATGACTTCTCGTTCTCCGTGTCCTCCCTTTTCCCATTGAGTTGAATGCATTCGCATTGTTCCACCATCCAAATTATAAAATTTGTGATTTGTCCCTCCCTGCTCCAGTCAATTACTCTCCTTTTATGCTATCATGACCAGAAGGTCACTCACAACCTAATGCTTTGATCCTTAGGCAGTTCTTCCTCAGAAACAGACAGTTTTAACTGTTTGCTAGTGACGCTTTCTTACGTCCCACTGGTTTTTAGCACAACGGAAGTCGAATGGGTGAACTTGACCGCGTAGTCAAATTTAATTGTGCAGTCTAGAGGCAACTGAGTGACCACCTCTGTTAATACAAACATCTGTGATGTATCTGCTTACATTGCTGGAGCAAACACATTGTCTGCGGAGGCATTTTCCTTATAATCCGGTAGGTTCCAATGTATTACGGTTAAATTTCTGTCATGAGAGAGCTCGAATATCAGTTGTGCAGAAGAGGCATTTTTTTGGCCCCATATATCTAGGATGCCACATTCACTGATCTTGCGCGTTCTTTAAGTGGTTTCAGATGTTGACTTCCTTCTCTTGCCGTCCCCAAACGCATTTCTCCACTAGTATGAAGACGGTCTTCTTGATTACTGCTTCTGGCTAACGTTCGCGAATAGCTTTTAGGAATATAGAACTAATTAAACTCTTCATGTTGGATAAAGGAACTTATTAAATCGGTCACAACCTGCTTTGTCGTTAAAATTGGCCCTCTTTAACTGGTACGTGTTGATGTTGATGCTTCACAAAAAAAAAGACTATACACGTGGGAACACATCTCAAAGGAAAAAATGAATCGTCCAGAAGGGAAGGGGTACAAACGTCCCCCACTTACTTAATAAGGCCAAAGAGCCCTGCACTAGATGAGGAAACTAGCTCAAAAGCCATCACACGAAACAACAGATAAACGAATGAAAAGGCCAATACGGATTCTGCATGTGCACGTACGCACCTCCGCCTGCAAATGCGCATGCATGGAATGTAGAGTAATCGATACACACACGTATGCACGCCATGTTAGCCAATGACGTGGTGATACTGTTGAGGCGGTTGAGTGTGGACGAAGGGCGAAAGAGCAGGTAAGAGGGCAAGGGGAGGGAGCGAGGTCTTTCCTTTCGGATGTTACGCATGATGTGGAGGTATATACTTTGTGAAGATGGTGCGCTCTCTGCGATCGTGTAAAAAGAAACTCCCGAATAATGCATAATATGGAGAGCAAATAACAGATAATGTTCTCCACCATTAGAGATGTGGCTTTTTCGGTTAGTGTAGTCCCAATATTTATTTTACCGTTTTGCTTTGCCTATTCATCTAAATGCTTCAGCTTTCCGAGAAAGTGTAAGCGGAAGGAAAAAATAGGCCAACTTGTGAAATGGATGACACGGGTTAAGGTATGCCAACTTGGACCATTTTTGGGCAATAATGAAAATACTTCTCAAAGATGTGAGACATGTTAGTGTAGCTTTTTGGGCTTGTCTTTTAAAGGAAATTGAATTCTCTGACCGACGTATTTTGGTGGACCCCAACAGTCCTAACACCGGTGCTGTCAAAAGGAAAACAAGTTAAGCTGAATGCTGAGATCCTCCAATCGACTGTCGTAAAAGAGACAAGTGCACATGTCAGACGTTTGTGGTTCACTGATTCGCGTGTCAAACCTTAAGAGGCATGCTGATTTGACATTTGTAAGCACTCATTAAAGTATGGGATTATGTAAATTTATGCTACAGTGAAGCCCTACAGCTGTGCGAAGACCCAAAAAAGCGCAAATTGAAAACTATGGCACTCCAAGCTGTAAAGAGATGGGCAAATAATTCACTCGCTTATTCCTGCTACCATTAGCTAGACGACAATGCATTATGCCATAAAACTTTACTCGTTTCCAGGTCATTATGTCTCTCCCTCCACCCCATAGCATTGTTTATTTGCTTTACTTTAGAGAGCTCTTTTTTCGAAGTAGTGTCATCTTCAAGTCCCTTTTTCTCAACTTTTCTCGGAGATTACGCGAAGGTCCCTGTGTAAGATCTAAAAGTTGACTACTGTGAACCAATCAACTCAATGGAGCTGAGTGCTCAGAATTGTAGGGTCCAAGTGTTGGCTACTCCAGTTGAGATACAACAACAAAGTGGCGATTTGGCCATATAAGAATGAGCTTTACCTTATCTTAATCCTACGCTATGGAAGCGCTAAGTCATCGATTCAGTGCACCAACCCGAAAGCCAATTGGTTCGTTCAAGGTCACACATCAAGAGCCGGCGAACAGGTGCTATAAAATATTCCAAATTTGTCCTCCTTTTTGTTTCAGCCTTCCAAACTTAATGAGTCATCGCCAGAATGGTTTTCTAGTTGTAAAAGGGTAGGAAGCACGGCCGATTTGAGTTGAGTTTTCCAAGTCTCCCATTGTAGCTTGAAACGCTACTGAATAGGCACAATATAACTTTGCTGGAAAGTAGTTCAAGCATCGCACGCATTCATCAGGTTGCAAGATTTTTTGCAATCAGCTGATGTCACAAAATTCCCCCAGACAGGGCCATTTAGGTCTTTTTAACACTAGCGGAGGCATGGTTTAGGAACAAGATGGCGACACACTTATTAACACAATTTTTGACAACAGTGGCAGAGTGCGAGCGCAAAAACGTGTCCTTATGTTTTATTCAACAGAGAGGGAGTTAATCAAGGTAATGAGACGATGATACTCTAATTCTTCACCATTTTGTGTGCATGTGGGAAGGAAGAACTGACCAATTGCATCCTGTCATATTTTAGTGCAAATCAAAGACAAACATCGAATGCTGATAGAGTGGCAGACATTTTTGACAACAAAAAGAAAGACAACTTTGCAGGACGTTTGAGGGCCATGATTGGTAGAAAAAATTAGTGAAAGTGGTGCTTGTCAAGGATATCTGGTTAAGAGTCAGAAAACTGCTAAATTGAAATAATAAGAATATGGTAAAAAAGTAGAGTAGATGAGGTGAGAAGACTGCTCAGTTACAGTCCTCGCTAAAGCAATTGAGAATCTTGACTGCATCAAGCACATTAGCCTTTCCTGCTGGACAGTGAAGAGCAAGACAAAATGGGAGGCAAGAGGAGACGAATAAATCACCAGACAACCAAACCGACTGATCTATCGCAGCATTCGTAAGTGAACTGCGAAACACTAGTTTAGCTAATTCGTTAACACTATTGTTATATCCACCTAATCTCTTTGGTCATAATCATCCCGTCTGGAAAATGACTTCTCGCACATCACATGCACACGACTGAGTTGAGGCCAACGTTGACACACATGCAACGACCGAAAGTTCAGTTTACAAGTTACGGCTAAGAAAACAGGTGTCAGGTTGACACATTATAAGATGAAGCCGATCTGTAGCAAATGATATTTCCTCCTGCTGCAAAGTTCCAAGAATTATCTTTTTCGTCCTCCTTATCGAAACGCCTCACCGTCACTGTGTTGCTCCCAACACCGCAACAGTAATCATCACGAAGAAAGGCAGGAGTGAATGGCACACCACTCGGGCTTTCCGGTGTAAAGGGAAGCGGGTGGAAGATATAGGAGGAGGAGGAGGAGGGCAGAGGTAGAAGACGAGAGGTGATTGTTTGTGGCACGATGAGAAGAAGGGAAGTTAAAGTGGACTGCGATGTGTTGGAGACGCGCACCGGTGGAGGCGACAACGCATACTAATCTTGGACTGCTGCAATGCGTCCCTACGGTGGTCGGTGAAGACGAGGAGGGAGAAGTGGATGGGGGGAGGACTACCTGTCACGCACCAACCACTTCGCCTCATTCACTCCACCCTCTCGACAGCTCGTCTTACCTACCACGTGTCGCACGACTGGACACATTCCAACCCATGCGGGATGTTGCGCCGTAGTTGGGTGGTGGTGGTGGTGTTGGTGGTGGAGGTGTTAGAGGGAGGAGGGAGAGACAAGGCACGAATGTGTGTTGTGAGAGGGGCAAGAGTCTTTTCCCGACACTGACACCTCCGGTCAATTCGCCTTTGTCGATGGCGAGGATGAGTGTGTGGGAGGAGTGAGCAGTATCAGTGCTCAGCAGACGAAGTGGCACAGACGCGTCATGTCTTGATGTGAGGAGAGCGTTTGCCTTGCTTGCCTTCGGTGGAGGTTGGGCTGAAGGAGTGCGACCATTGGAATGGGTTTAGTGCACTCGCCTCCACTCAGTCAGCACCAGCAAATGCAGTGCACAAGTGTTCACCGAACAACCTCTGCCCTCACCTTTGTCAGTGAAAGGTGGCACGGAGGTGCAGTTGCAGTGGCCATCAGTAAAGTTGGCATGTCAAAAGAATGAGCTGACGAATTGACGAACGAACGAATGAAGGAAGGAAGGAAGGCAGTGTGAGTGATTGCTTCCACCACCCACGAATGCTCCACCAAACCACTCGGTTGCTGCGACATGACACGGAGGGGCTGTTGAGTTGGTGACGCCAGTGCATTGTCTCGATGAAGAGGCAAGGAGGAGTGGTGAACGGTCTGGAGAATGGCCTAAGTCGTCACTGTCTGGCAGTCGTCACTTGGTTTGCTTCTCAATTTTGTGATGGTCTGTTTGTCAGGAAGTGTTGTTGAGAGGAGGAGGAGGAGGAGGAGGAGGAGGGGAAGGGAAGAGCGAGGAAGGTGGGAGGAGCGATGGAGCGAGGCGAATGGGAGGGTGGAGTGTGGGCAATGGCTGGTGGCATGGTGTAAGTCTGTGGGATAAGCGGAGGCCTGCTCAGCCGAGGTGGCCAGACAGCGTCGGCCTGTCGCACAGGTAAAGCGGAATGCCACATAAGGTCGTGTTGTTCACCGTTGCAACCATTCCTCTTCCATTGTGCCACATGAAGTGAAGTTGTTGGTTGTGGATGGTGGCTGCAGGGAGGTGACAAGTGTGCACTGCGGAAGGTGGTGTGGTGCAGTGTGGTGGACAAGGTGAGGCAACACTGTTTATGGTGGGTGATTGCACGAGCACTCATAATTTCCTTTTTCCTTTGTCGTTCCCCTTTACCACGTCCATTTCTATACCTTTTCTCTCTTCTACTTTGTGCTCTTCTTCTCACCTTTCTTGGCAATTGGATGTCGACCCTATATACAACTAACTTCCGTAATTTGCCATTTTATTGCCGTCAACTTCGTGATAATTTCGAAGCTTCTGTTTGTGATTGATGGCGCAAATGCGCGTGGTGCAACTTGCGTCTTCAGAATGAAAGCCTTTCAGTAAATCCTACTCATCTTTATGTCATGGATGTCGCAAGTAATCGAATGAGCACCAAAGGAAGTTGTTAATTACTGCTTTCACCCTCCTACTTTGTTACGAAAAATATGCCATTAAATTCAAGGATGAATAATAGATCTGTTGCCTTTTCCGAAGGCAAGTGTAAATGACGACAATTTAAGTGCTATTTTTATTGCGGCATTCTTTTGGCCACAACTAAGGTGTCCTCTGTCGCGCCTTCAAATTAGGCTGACCCACTTTTTCCGGTCTCGACATGCCCTACGCACTTGTCCAGTGTGGACACTGCACTGCAAAATGTGCTCCTCACACTGAATTCTCTTTGATGCACATTGGCGGCAACGTATTCAAGCAGAAAGCTTGGAGAAGTCGATTATATTCGGTTTTACTCGTTGCCTGGTAGCCGAGCAACCAGGTAGTGAACGCGGCCTCTTCCCCCTCCTTGCTATTGGATGAAGGAGGAGAATCAGTGGATTAGAGGGACGAAAAACGGACCAGGAAGTAAACCAGAAGAAATGGGAAAGATAAAGGCAGATATACATGCATACACATAAGGGACACACAAATAAAAGGCGAGCGCATGATGAGGCCCTCTAAATTGCCTATAAAAGCAACATAGAACAGGACGTGTTAACAAAAGCTCTTTGCGCAACCCCTTAATTTATGGCCAATCAGATAAATGTTCCCGCTCGCAATTTCTCAATTCCCAGCTCTCTACGCATGACTGCCATTTTAAAGGGGCATTTAATAGACTGTCATGCATACTACTGAATCTCCCGGCAGCATATGGAACAACCTCCGTTCGGATGTTGCTACTTCCTTCCAAGTTGGAGATCCAAATTCTCCCTTTCCGACTGTTCCACACTTTGATCACACCATCCTCAAAGTTAATCTTGGCTCTGTCGGAGGATCTCTTGCACTTACGCTGTAAGTGCACCTCTCCTCTTTCCTTGCCCCATTTATCCCCCTCATGGGTGGGAGATAAGTCGCGCTAAAAGTTGATCAAAAGTTAAAAAACTCTGCTAACACTTTTGTTCCGATGATTTGCACAAAACCAGGGACGCAGTTCCAGTGTCAACTTGGAAACTGTCTCTTACTGGGCCACAAATGCGTGATGCGCAGATGTGCAGCTTCGTATTTTATTCTCCCTAAATGCTCTGATTCTCGATTAGGTTTTCTTGTTGGATTAGAAAAGTGGAACATCTGCATCTGCGGTAGTCTGCCTACCGCCATGAAATTCATATTTAAATTGCTTTGTCTTCTCTAGGAATTTGACTTTTCACGCTCCATCTCTTTGTTCAAAATTAATTGTTTACACAAACACCATTTTGGAGCTGCGCAGAAGATGGAGGCATTTTACACAAGGGAAGGAGGATGTCCGATGCATCTGAGGGCTCTTTCGTTGATGCTGTGGAACTCGGAGTGGACGCTGGATTCTGTGCGAATGCGAATGACAGAGCGAGAGTAAATCCCTCCCCAGCCCTGCAGGCACCTTCTCCTCAGACAATAAGATTTTATTAAGAAAATCAACTAAAATACGGCAACAATAAAGGTAATTACGAAGATCAACCCAATGGATGTTTGCACAGTCATTGCATGACCCTGACGACATTTAAGGAGGTCATATCGACTTGGCTGACCCTCGATCTTCAGCTGGTATTCTTTTTCCATAGTCTCGCCATCAAAGAACCATGTCAAGTCGTTGAAGGGGTATTCAAAACCCTGGCGACACATGCATTTGTAGCTTCCACTTCGGAATTGTCGACCTGGAATGTGTTCACACTGGAGGAGAAGCAAAAAGGACATAAAGTTAGTTAATTTGGGGCAGACCAGGTCAAATAGGGCACGTAGCAACAGAAAACCCATTGGACTAGTGTTTGTCGAACAAGGTGTCCGGAAGCAGGTTGTTACAGCGAGTGAATCATCCACAATCGATGGAGGTCTTCGACGTGGAAGGCTTAGTCGAACACAAAAGCACCTTCAACTTCTGGCAAATTTGCAAAAGCATCCACCCATTATGCTGTTTGATTGCAGAAATGAAGGAAAAAACATCCGCCAGAAAGAATAGCCTCGCAATAAAGATGCACCAAATCAAAAATGGAGAAGTTGACATTTTCCTGAAGTGAGACAGAGAAGGAGCGGTCCAAGACCTCTACGATGCAACACCTTTGACTGATGGAAAGCGAGGCAGAGCATCAACACCTTCGTCGCCACCTTCTCTTTACCCACTTTCTATTGTGTACTTGCCTAGGCGATGAGTACCTTCTGCAACGGGAGGCGAATGCAAAGCAGCTTCTCCCAACCTTTTTCTGCTCCCTTCATCAGCACATTATTTCAGCCCTGCCGTCAAGCTCTGTAGCACTCTAAGGCCATCAACCGGGTGGGAAGATAATCCCAAAAAGGAAATGATCGTTCGTGCATTTTTATTACTTGAAGGTGATGTAGAGGAGATCTTTCCATGAATCCGATGCCATTTTGCGTTGGAGGAAAGTGAGGCATCGATTCGCCATCGACAACAACACTTTTGAGATGTGACACTCAAAAGCAAGGACAGAAGAGTGGCCGAGGATTGAAGAGGACTGATGGAGACGAGGTGATCAGCTGAGCGTAGACAGAGGTGGTCAGTTTTAGTGAAGGCAGTCAAAGGGCGTTCGCAGTTGCCATTTGTCACGAGGTGCGTCTCTTGCTCCTCTCCGTACTCACCGCTAAACGAGCGCTCTTTGAATGTCAAAATGACTAAAATTGTTGGCAAGCCGGTGGCTACGTTCACCCAACTACCTTTTCCGAGTGACTGCTTCCAGCTCGCTCACTTGAATATCAAACATTCCTTGTCACCAACAAATGTTAACCAAAACTACTTCGGTCCTGCAACCTGGGAGTAAACAGACTCAAAGGTGGAGCGCTGCGATCGTCTGAAGATAGTTACCCCATTCAAACGCTTTTCCATTGACGGAACTCAACAAACCGTCAGTGCGGTAGAAGCACAAGGTGGTATCGACTTCCGCCTCTCATCTAAATTATTTCAACTCCATTTGACAGGAGATGAAAGAAATTTCATGGATGTTGGTACGATGCTCAAAGGGGAGGACATTTCTCAGTCAACCTTGACGCTTGGCTATTCGTCTGAGAGGGCGACAAAAACTTACTGAAGTGCTAACAAGACCGGCAACCATCCTCAGAGTTACTGTCTACCGAGTTGCAGCTTAAAGAGGGTAAAATAAGCCGAATTGCAACTGCCTCTGTCCACTGTCTCCTCGCGCAACACCGCGGCGACACGCGGTCCCCTTCAGTGGCGAAGCCGAACTCTGCCACCGCCGCGCGACTCAACGCAGACTTACTCCACCGAAAAACAATTTTAAAAAATGATCGAATTTGCACTTCATGAAGAAACGTAAATTTAAAAATTCTGTCAAAATTAAACATTTTGCTACAAACATGAGAGAAGTGGAAAATTTGCGTCGGAATTTGCTTTACCATTTTCACCTCACATTTGCAAAAAAAGATTTATTTTCAAAAAAAGGAGTTGGTAAATGCGTTAATTTGCAAGTGGAAGGAGGGGAAGAAAAGCAACAATTTTGACATCGCGAATCACCTCAATTTGGACATGACGTGTAAGAATTTTGCAAAAATCCTCCAAATTTTGGACAAAACCAATCAAACCGCTGCGTTGGTGAATCAGCAGCTGCACTTCAAGTAAAATGGAATAGCAGGCGATAAATGGACAGCCAATTTCAACAAACTTTCATGTCTTTTTTTTCCACAATAGTCTGTTTTAACTTCGTTATAGTAAAAATAAATATCGCGTTTCCACTTCAGTCTCGGGGGTGCCCAGTCGGGTCGGCCCCAACCCCCCACTTACTCCACGGAGGGAACCCGGTTGATGGTACTAATAAAAGCGAGGGCGAAGGGAGAGCGACGACAGTTGCGCATTGCTCCGGAGACACCTGCGAATGGCAGGGAGGCGCAGAATTCGTTGACAAGCCAAATGTGACACTTAAGTAAGAAAGTAGTTCAGATTGCATTAAGTACGCTTAGTGACAAAAGTTGGAGTTGCATCCCAAAAGGAGGTGTTGATTCTGGAACGGAAGAGCGAGAAGTAAGACAACGTTGGTGAGGGCATTCATCAAAGAGACTGAAAGAGGCAGGAGAAGCTTTGTGAGGCGTACGGAGGTTATCGTCATGCTGTCGCATTTTACCCCTGTCCCTCCTTCCCCACCTTTCAATTTTCTCTCCTTTACTATCTTTTCTGTTCATTCCCTTTCCCCAGCTTTCATCCCATCGAATGGACCATTTCAATCAGTTGCACACAGGCGAAAAGGCCTTGCCAAACCTCCGGTTGCCAGGCAACCAAACAACGGACGAATAAATTCGGTGTTGTTAATCCTTTCAACTTGGCCATTGTTCAAAGCCGAGGAACGCGTGTGCAACCTCCGAGGGTGCGGTTAATTCCATTAGATGCCTCAAACGTTCAAATTGCAATTACCACTCCATTTTTGCTTCTCGAAACGCCCAAGTTACACGAAATAAAATTGAAAGAGGCAGAACCGACACATTTTTTACACACTTGAAAATTGCTTATCATTTGCAAAGGCATGCAAAGAAGTAAAAGCACAGAAGGCCAAGAAAATGTTGAAAAAGAGAAATAAAATTAACTCCAACTGTCAAAAACGATGAATTTTATCTTTTCTGAACGCTGAACCAATTTCAATTAGTGGCGAGAGAGCCGCTTCAAGGTGGATGTCAGAAAAAAAATTGGCAAGAATGGAAGCACCAAGGTTGGATGCGCATCTGTGATGTCAATGCAAGCAGAGAAGTGAGGAGAGGGCAGTGCAAAGGGGAAGGAGATGAGACGAGGAAGGACGAAAGACTGATTCATGTGGGCAATTAAACGACTACTCTGCAACCCTTGCTAGTGGCAGTAGTGCAATCACCCACCATAAACAGTGTTGCCTCACCTTGTCCACCACACTGCACCACACCACCTTCCGCAGTGCACACTTGTCACCTCCCTGCAGCCACCATCCACAACCAACAACTTCACTTCATGTGGCACAATGGAAGAGGAATGGTTGCAACGGTGAACAACACCACGACCTTATGTGGCATTCCGCTTTACCTGTGCGACAGGCCGACGCTGTCTGGCCACCTCGGCTGAGCAGGCCTCCGCTTATCCCACAGACTTACACCATGCCACCAGCCATTGCCCACACTCCACCCTCCCATTCGCCTCGCTCCATCGCTCCTCCCACCTTCCTCGCTCTTCCCTTCCCCTCCTCCTCCTCCTATAAACAACACTTCCTGCCAAACAGACCATCACAAAATTGAGAAGCAAACCAAGTGACGACTGCCAGACAGTGACGACTTAGGCCATTCTCCAGACCGTTCACCACTCCTCCTTGCCTCTTCATCGAGACAATGCACTGGCGTCACCAACTCAACAGCCCCTCCGTGTCATGTCGCAGCAACCGAGTGGTTTGGTGGAGCATTCGTGGGTGGTGGAAGCAATCACTCACACTGCCTTCCTTCCTTCCTTCATTCGTTCGTCAATTCGTCAGCTCATTCTTTTGACATGCCAACTTTACTGATGGCCACTGCAACTGCACCTCCGTGCCACCTTTCACTGACAAAGGTGAGGGCAGAGGTTGTTCGGTGAACACTTGTGCACTGCATTTGCTGGTGCTGACTGAGTGGAGGCGAGTGCACTAAACCCATTCCAATGGTCGCACTCCTTCAGCCCAACCTCCACCGAAGGCAAGCAAGGCAAACGCTCTCCTCACATCAAGACATGACGCGTCTGTGCCACTTCGTCTGCTGAGCACTGATACTGCTCACTCCTCCCACACACTCATCCTCGCCATCGACAAAGGCGAATTGACCGGAGGTGTCAGTGTCGGGAAAAGACTCTTGCCCCTCTCACAACACACATTCGTGCCTTGTCTCTCCCTCCTCCCTCTATCACCTCCACCAACACCACCACCACCACCACCACCCAACTACGACGCAACATCCCGCATGTGTTGGAATGTGTCCAGTCGTGCGACACGTGGTAGGTAAGACGAGCTGTCGAGAGGGTGGAGTGAATGAGGCGAAGTGGTTGGTGCGTGACAGGTAGTCCTCCCCCCATCCACTTCTCCCTCCTCGTCTTCACCGACCACCGTAGGGACGCATTGCAGCAGTCCAAGATTAGTATGCGTTGTCGCCTCCACCGGTGCGCATCTCCAACACATCGCAGTCCACTTTAACTTCCCTTCTTCTCATCGCGCCACAAACAATCACCTCTCGCCTTCTACCTCTGCCCTCCTCCTCCTCCTCCTCCTATATCTTCCACCCGCCTCCCTTTTCACCGGAAAGCCCGAGTGGTGTGCCAATTCACTCCTGCCTTTCTTCGTGATGATTACTGTTGCGGTGTTGGGAGCAACACAGTGACGGTGAGGCGTTTCGATAAGGAGGACGAAAAAGATAATTTTTGGAACTTTGCAGCAGGAGGAAATGCTCCTTGGCACGATGCTCTTTCAGCGTTCCCTAATATTCGTTTTGGACGGTGGACGTTCATTTCCGTTGCCTTTCGCTAGTTTGTGTAACTTTTTAAAAAATATATTTTTTGAAAACAGCAAGTTGCAGTAGAAATTAAGCATCGGCTTTTCCCATGGACCTATGGGGCTATTAATTTACGAAAATTTTTTACGCATTACCCTTCTGACATAATATTGGACGATTAGTGAGATTTGACTAGTTCTTTGCGCCAACAACTTAAAATAAATTGTTGGTTGCTAGATGAACACACAAAAGCTGGGTTGCGTAAAGCAGAGGGTGGTTTTCGAAAATTTACATGAAAACAAGGTTTGCGTCTGCACGTTCTGCACTTGGGTTTCAACTAAAATTAGTTAATTTAATAGTCCAGTCTTCTATCAAAAAGAAAGTCCTAGTGTTAAAAATTGAAAATAAAGTGGGCAAAAATGCTTAAAAAGAATAAAATATTGTGAATTAATTATCGTCGGTTGGGCATCAATTGTGTTCGGCACTTTTAGACCGTCACCGCAAGCCTGCAAAGGCACCACCACCGCCGTCGACTCAAAGGGAACACTGGTGACAATTCCAAAAGTGCCAATCAACATTTTGAGCCACGATCAAACTCCCCGCCTTCCACCTTTCCTCTCGCAGATGCGGAGCTTCAGGTTCTGCCACCAATACAAAGCCTTAAAAAGCGAACAACCTGCCACCCAGCCAGCCACTCAGTCAGTTAGCAGCCAGCCAGCTAGTCAACCAAATCAGTCGGTCGGTCGGTCAGTCGGTCGGTCGGGCGACCAGCCAGCCAGCCAGCCAGCCAAGCGGCCAACTGTGGCCAATCGATTTGGTCACGTGATCTCCTCTCGCTGGCTCTGCACTTACTCCTGTAAACGCATTTTGTCTCCGCTGGCCTTCAAGCCACGCGCTGATTAGCCCTGTGAGAAGGCATGGCAACCAATCATCGTGTAACCGAGGCGCTCTCTCATTGGCTGGACTTGGGAAAAGGCGCTTTCGCCTATTTCTGTGGCGCAATGACGCGATCTGCGGTGCGACAACAGGGTTGGTGGGAGTTTTCGTGGGGAACGAGAGAGGGAAGGCAAAGGTGGCACCAGCATTTAGACGTTGAAAAAGCCGTTTAAGCATGTAAAGGCAGTTCGACTGTGGATGGCTTCACGAGCAAGAGGCACGCTAAGTGATGCATACTGTATGGGTATGCTAAAGCGGTAGTGTTCCTGGTAAGTGCGTCAACTTTTATACAAAGCTTGCCCTATACTTTTGTTGAACATTAAAAATGCGTGGGCGTAGCTTTTCTGTTCCATGCCATCCAATTCACTCTCCGCTTTGTTAATTCGATTGTGTGCAATTGGAGTCTGGCTGAATGTATGGACTCATTCTCAGCCCTGAAGGTGTGACACCTGCGTGCATAATTGCGGCTGGAGCACTGGGAGAGGCGTTCAAAGGGTGTGAAGAATATCTCTTATCTGTGTGAGTCTGTTGAAACTAAAATGGAGGTGATGGGAACGGCGAGGCCGTGCGCCTTTTACAACCCAAATTCTGTCTGCTCTGGTGACCTCACTTTTGGCACCCGGAACAAATGTGCCTTTCGTTTGTCGAGTCCGTCGCACTCATAAAAAGGAAGATTCTTCTCATTTTTTAGATTAATATCAGAGGAAATTTGTAGACGGAAATGGTGGATTTGAGAGAGTGAAGAACTTACGTAGGTGTTCTGAAAATCGCAACGTGCAGTGTTCTTGAAGAAGTTCGGAGTGAAGAAGGACTGTGGGCATTGGTTGATGTCGAGTTGATGCAGATCCACCGATATTGTCACCACACCCCTTTATCAAAAGAACGGGGATGCTAAATCAGTGGGTGCAAACGTTAGATTTTTGCCCTTTGCATCCAAATTCGAGGAAGGTATACAGAAAATCTCATGAGCATGCCAACCTTACGGAGTAGGTGGTCGCAATTAAAGGTTGCTTATGTCAGACATTAGTTAATGGTGGTCAAACAGATAGTTAAGGCCTCAATTAGGAGGTGGATTTGCAAAGGATGACCAATGTTTACCGGTGAGAACAAGAAGGAGTACGTTTAACAACGGCACAACAACGAATCCTCAACTTATTAACATTTTCACCGTGATTTCCGCCATGGAATTCGGAACCCAGTCCACCATTTAAGTGAAGGATTTGGATTACTTTGCTACTTAAATTTACTTAGTAGAGAGCTTAAAAGTAAACTCACATGAAGTCAAGGTTTCTGCGATGGCTGAGGTAGCCAAAAAACGGCGTAGCGTAAGTGATGACCCAGCCATTGAAGAATCCATCACAAACGTAATATGGCTCCGTCCAATACCCCTCTTCGTACCGCGGAACACGATAAAAGAGGGGGAAATTGAAGTAGCGCTGAATTTGTGTCCCATTAATATTGCTACGAATGTAGGGCTTCGTAGTGATGCTTTCTAGACCTTGTCGACTGGACTCCCAACGTTCCTATGGTGGCAGTAACGTGTACGATTCATTTATCAAGAACTTCTTAGCATATGTGTCCAATAGAACTCATTGGAACTCATTGGAAAATGAGGCGACGCCCGGAGAGTATAGATTGCATCAATGCCTTACTTTGAGCATGCAGAGCAATCACTTGTCAAAACCACGGTTTGACCTATGTCTCCAGACTGAATGGCAAATTAAGTTGAGAAAAAGTGGGACTTTGGACGCATCGTCGACGTCAAAGCATTTGCTTTCACCACTTCCTAGATGCAGTTCACTACACTGTGCAGCTGTCTTACTAATAATCCTTTCATCTTTGATTATCTTTAACGAGATGGCAAAGAAAAGTATCCTACCTTTTAGAGAAAATGGGAACGTAAAGTTCAAAATAAAGTTATACGGTAAAGAAAACCACCCAATTCACCTTTAGTAGGCGGAACCACTCCCTTTCGGTGTAGTTTCGGTGGCCATGAGCACTCATGTCAATGGCTTCGGCTACTTGTGCAGCCACGCTGGGTTTGTAGGCGAAAGGAGCAAAGAGGTCCCACGTAGTCCCTTCATGATCGACGAATGCTTGACGATCGAAAAAGATACCTGAGGAGACGATTTGAAAGCTTGACAAGACGTTCGCGTACACCTCTCCAAACAGCTCGAACCGATTAAGCGGAGCACCTGACTGCCGAAATATAGAGGGGATGTCTGTCAAGAAGTGCTTTACGTTCAATTATAGTAGAACTTTAAAGATGACAATACAGACTCAAAGACATACTCTTAAGTTGCCGTAGAGCTCTCCAACTATGTTGTTCTGGTAGTATGCGGAGAGGAAGTGCGCCAGTCGCAGAGCCACGCGGCCTTCCATTTCAAATTGTGCTTCCGCGCCGTAACTGACTCCTGAAGGCATCTGTAATTCGGCTGGACTCTTTGAAGCACAATTTTCCGGGGTCACAGTGTCTATGTAGGCGATCAGTCTAATCACCTTAACATTGGCATTAAAAAATATAGAAATGAGCGTTTGCCGAGGCGAAATCAAGGCAAAATCAGTTTCATTCGAATAGTCAAGGGGTTAGGAGCTACGTTGGGTGATATGGTCAAGTATTGGCAGCTTACCTCGTGATAGGCTTCCTCATTAAAGGTGTAGCCGTTACCAAGGTAGTAAAAGGGGACGTCCACATCCCTGCGTTTCCTTTTTACCATGTCAGTGGACCCAACGACTGCTGCACACTGTTCCAGATTGCCTGCACGGCGGGCCAAGAAGCAGGTCTCATTTACTCCTCGGTATTTTAACTTAGCCTCAAGAGGTGGTTCCATTGGCCTTGCATCGTGATGGCCAGCAGTGTCATCAACTTTGTGAAAGATGTCATCCAATGGAGACGCTTCTTTGCCGTTTTGAAGACCAATTTTCTTCAAAAGTAGTGTCATATCTGCAACGAATGGAAGCATGAATTCATAAAGATTCGGAAGAATTTAGTTGTACAGGCAGTTAGAAGATTGGTTCTTACGAGAAGCCAAATAATTCGTCGAAGATACAGCCATCTCAAGTGGTTTTGCATACCACAGTGTTCTTCGAGGTCTCTGCACAGGAATCTGATCCAATCCCGCACTTTCAAGACGGTCTTTTGCGATTTCATGGGGAACCACCTGTCTCCAGCCAACAGGAAGGCAGTCAAAACCATTTTTATATTCTTCTTCCGTCGCTTGCTCGATATCAATGCCTCTAAAGGGGCCATTCTGCTGCATTGGGAGACGATAGCCCGGTTGACAGACACACTCATAGCCGCCGCGTGCGAACCCGTAACCAGAAAGAGGAACACACTAAAAATATGCTTATGATAAAAGTATCTATAGGTTATGAGTGGCGGTAAATGGAAATTACCATTGTGGTGGGCTTGCATCGAGCCGTTCCAGCCAAAAAGTAGTCAGGATTACCCATGCTTGGTGGACAGGGGTTAAAGTCGATACGAAGAAAATCCATACTGGTTACTGTTACACCCACCATCCTAAAGGGAACACCACAATGGTATTTAGCAGGACCTATAGGCACTAGGCAATGAGTTAATTTTTTATAAAGTCAGAATTTAGATTTTAAGTGGGTAAACGCTGCAAGGGTTCTTAGTGCAAAAGATTAGCATCTTAGCATGGTTTACTTAAACTTTTTCAAAAAATTTGGAAACCATGATTCTAAGTCAACTAAGGAATGCCTCCGATTAGTGTACGTAGAGGGTTCCTCTAGCTTCCAAAATTATCGAGACTAATTTGACGCCTGCAAAAATTGCCACATGTAATGTGGGTTGAACTCGGGACATTAACATTTACTTAAATTTATGAGTAGAAAGTATTTCATATATAATCCCGACCTGCCAAGGAATAAATAGCTGTCATTTTTTGGGTACTCATGCTGTCAGTCTTATCCACCCACCTAGGCCCTCGCAAACGATCGATTGGAGAGTAGCGCGGCATGTAGTCTGACAGTGCGGAGACTGCACTTACGATCCACCGATTACTATGTCCACAATCATAATAAGGTCGGGTGAATCGAACTGGCAGAAAAGTCTCCTTAATGCCTGGAGCGTTGGGCCCAAAAAAATTGAATGATTCCAACATTTCGATCAGGTTTCCATGGATGTCAGCAAGCCGAGTTCGAGTGGAATACTGATTTTTCCCGATCGCGGTGCCTCTGTTGTCAGGTATGAAATTAATGCCCATTTCAGTGTCGTGAATAAAGAAGTTGTTGCGATACCATGGTGCTGTGTAATTGCTGAACGGACCTGCGCCCATGTCTGTTGACTGAATAAGATAAAATCGCCTTATGATGAGGGCAGAATGATTTCTCAGGCAGATAAAAAATATTTCGTCAAATCCTTTAAATAGATAAACCCAACAAGAGTGGTGACGTGATCGACACTTTCAGTTAAAATGGGAAAGGAATAGAGTATTTATTAAACGTGGAAATCCCTGTCTTGAGCTTCCAAAGGCAGCGATTATAGACATGAGAGTTTGGTTTTTACCTGAGCTACAGTACAGCAAATCCGAGGGTAGTAGAAAGCCTTTAATAAAGCCTTGACAAGTTCGGCTTGGTGCCCAAGTTTTAAGTAATTAAGTGTCGAAGTCAC